ATTCAATTATTCAAAGTATAATCACATTTGAATTCGTTGAATATTAAAAAAAATTACAAATATACGCTTACGAATAAATGTATAATAATGAAAATTCCATGTTTGATCAGTATAAATTCATAAAAGTATTGAGCGATAGATTATCCGTCTAGGGTATACGTGTAAGGATAAAGCTGCAGGCTAAAGTTAAGGTTTTATTATTACAATTATTTTTGTTATTATTAATAAAATCTCATTCATAAAAAAAATGTCTTCGAATCAGGAACAAAGAACAATCCGATGAAATCTTGGAAAATTAGAATTTGACTTATGCCTCAACGCTCTTCTCTTTTTTCATTCGTGTCATCTATCTTTCTAAATTGTATATGCATAACATGCCGCTACGAACTGCAACTATCGACATCTTTCTCACGACACAACTTGTTGCGGTCTGCCTGTACATATTTGGTATCTTTGAACGATCGATATCCTTCTTCCCGAAAACCAGCTTTTTTCGAACATTTGATCGAGAAAATTTTTGCATATCCGTAAAATGCTATTAAAAAGTTTTCCATATGATCGTCCAATTTCAATACTGTTATTCTGTACGTCCTTCATACTCTTCTCCCTCCTCTCTTCAATAAATTTGTAAGTTTGTTAAAAATACTCATAATTCTTTGTTTTTCTTGAATTTATATAATATTATTATTTTAATTATTTTGTGTAGAACAGAAGTTGAAACGAACAATTTTTTTCAATTATCTTTGTGTTCAAGCTATAAGCAAAAGGTGGAGTACGATTTTTAGTACAGAATTGACCAATGAGAAGTAATATATAAGCTATATATAAGCTATAGTTTTCTTTCCTGTACACTTGCTGCTCAAAGGCTTTCAATCATTTTACAGCCAAAGGATTAACATATGTGTCAGGGAGCATGGACTTGTTGCACTTTGTAGGATGATATTTATGCTTGTTATTATGAAATTTTTCATTATACGAAGTCCGTCTAATCGCCATGAACTATGCCGTCTCTGACGAGAAGAACACGTTTTGTTAGGCGAGAGACGAGGAACAGGAGGGTAAAATTTCAATCAGAGACGACACGTGACATATACGCGGATATCTGCAAATGTAAGAGAAAGAAAAGAGATAGACATAGAGAGGGTTGAGCTACAATTTACTCGAATTGGTCAGCTAATGATACGTCACGAGATGCTTTTTACGCGTTCAGGACAATCGCATAATACATCGACCATGATTTGTATGAGACAAAATAATCAACTTCGCATTGAAAGTTTTGTGCATGAAAATTCACCGAATAACCGCGTTTTCTTCAATAACTTCATTTTGTAAGTTTACTGCTTAATTTAATGGTTCGACCTAATATTGTTACAAATTTAAATATAATGGATAATGAATCTATTTCCAGAGAATTCAAATTTTATACAATTGCATCACTCTTAAATTGAAAAATAAATTGTGATCGCCATTTCTTTTCAGTTGATCTTAAATAACTCGTTGATTTTAAATAACTACACCTTATTACTGGTTATATACTCGTTCCGATTAAATTGTGTTCTTCTCTTTTTCATACTGCTAACTTTTACATTTGGAGAGTAAGAATATATTTTATAACATAAAAAAGCACGGTGATTCGTTCTCATAATTATTAGTTTGTAAAATATTTAAATTCGTGCTATATATGTATAATAAACGGTAAAACTTTATATTTATAAAATATACAAATTAACGATTACAAATTAATTGTGAATTTATTCATTCATATCCTTTAATGTTTTTCCATAAAAATATAATTAAGTCTGATTATAAGTCCTTCTTACGAAATTCTACAAAACTTAGTATGATAATGCAACTTACATTCAAATTAAAAAATTTATTTAAATATTTTATTTAATAATTCTGCTTATTAACTGTACACTAGTGTATTCATGTATACTAATCGAAATTAAATGGAATTTACTTTATTATGCAACCAGAAACAACAAATGTAAAATATTTATTATACAATTAATAAAAGAGCAATTGCAGTAGAATAGAAATATACTTAATGATCATATTTAAATAAGCTTTCAACTACATTCTTCATATAATTCATTAATTTTTTAGAGAAAAATTTTTTGTTTAATATTAGAATTATCGTATGATCATATGAAAAAAAGTTTATGCTATTCAAGCAAATTTTCATTTAGTTAAATAATATTTTAATGCGACGTAATACAGTCAAAACATAACTAAACACTTTGTACACTTATGTACTTTGACACAGTATATTTAAACAGTGACAATTTATAATAGACATCATATAAATTATAATTTTATATTATTTTATGCATTTACTACATTATATAAACAAAAGAAAATTAAATAAACATTTTTACAAGAATTAATTGAAACATTTTGAAAACGATATGAAAATTATCATTATATTACAATTGAGAAATGAATACAGCGAATAAATCAGATTTCCAAAATCTTTATTTACTATTTCACTCTAATTAATATAGTATTTATAATAAGTAATTATTATTTAAAAAATATATAATAATTTTATTAGAAAAATAATCAAACGAAGAAATTTTATTGAATTAAAATAACTAATTTAATTATGATTTAAAATTATAATAATACTTCTTTTAGCTTTTAGGTAGACATTGTTATGTTATTTCTATCATTTATTTAAATTTAAGCAATTATGAATTCGAAATTCTAGATTATGGTTTCAATCATTTTGAAAGCAAAATAGCGCATTATAAAAAACTGCAGCATAAAAAAATTCTTAAATTCTTAGTTAATTTTTGCAAATTGAATATATTTTTTAAAATAATTTTTTAATTTCAGTGTTAATTGAAGACTCACACATAAGACTGAAATGTAATATACATCCACATATTTACATATTTAATTATTGGCTTAAAAATATATATTAAAATAATATATAGTAATTATGAAAAATCTGTTTATTTTTACAGTACCGTCAACATTTTTTGTAGCGCGTTATTAATTTATTAATCAATGAATTATAAAACTAATCTGAGCTTAGATAATGTATTTAAAATTTTGCAGAATCTCTAAAATAAAATCACTTGTTTATGATTTGAAAAATTAATATTATGAACGTCTATAAAACCTAAATAATTAATAATACTGTATTTCCTATGATATATTAAAATGATTATTAAATTTTAATTAAATTTAAATTATTAAATTAAATTATTATTTAAATTATTAAATTAAATCTTTAATGTACAAAGTTTTAATAATACCATTTACCTGAATATCAGTTGTTGGTAGTTTATAGAAAAAGTTTTATCATTTAGTAAAAAACAATATTTCATTTCATAAATAACTTACATTTATTACTTTTTTTACGAAACTAGACACAATTTTACAAAAGTATTAAATACAAAGAAAATTGTATGGGAAAATGCTTGTTTGGAAAAATTTGACGCTAAACTTCATATTTTCAGAAAAGTAGAGATTAAACTTGTTATTAAATGTAATTTTAACCAGTACAATAATATTAACGAATTTGCTTATTGTATATGAATTATAAGTTAAGCTTCATTTTCATAATATCTACAAGAATATGTTGCTATCAACATTTGAGTAAAACTAAAAATAAAAGTAAATATATTTATATCTGTTTCTCTTGAAGTATCATAATAGTAAAATCTTTCCGATCCTTAACAAATTCATATTTCCATAGAGAAATCAAATACAAGATTTACTTTAAATTTTTTATTCTGAAAGAATAATTATCGAAAATATAAAACTTATATTGTGCATATAGATCAAAAAGTTTAATGCTAACATTATATATTACTATATTTCATACACAACTCGGTGTGCCTAAATATTTTTTTGCTCATGCGCCTCTGATTCGGATTCAACCTTTCGCCAAGAAAATACGTGTACGCACTCGCATGCACATATATGTACGAAAGACCGACAGAGAGAGAGAGAGAGAGAGAGAGAGAGTGAGAGTTGTTAACGATTGAATAAATACCTGATAGTATTACATAGAATACAAAATTGATAGAGATCAATACAATTGTAATTCACTTTATCCAAGAGAATACATCTCCTTACATTTTGAATAGCGGCTTAAACGTATTGGTTTGAACGTGGGGGTTCCAACAACAGCTTAAACTTTAAAGTTATTGATTAATCAACGATTTTTTAATTTTATATTCTATGAAAGAGTTTTCGCATAATTATCAAGAAGCGGTAGTCAAAGGTCAACGCCTCCGATATCCCACACGCATCCTTCTATATGGCCGTAGCATGAGCCAATTAGTCCAGCATCTGCTAGGAAAACTTATGCGCGGGACTGTATTGGCGTGAGTTCTCAAGTGCAGAAGCATCGTCTTCGACGAGGAGCTCGCGTTGGCTCTCGTGGGAAAAGACGGACGACCTGAAAAGTCAAGGGCTAGACGGCGCGTATCGCAGGTTCGGGCAGGTCGCGAGCATAATAGAAGCTAGATGCCCTGGATGCCTTCTCCCCGTGGCTCCCAAACCAGACAACCCCGCCCGCGGCCCTAGAGATGCGGGCGCGTTACGCTGGTGGGGCGGAGAAAATGAGGAGGGAGAGAAGCAACTTAGAGGGAGAAAGGCATATATCGGCGACGGCAGCCGTCAAGCCTACGCAGTCTGTCGTGCGAGACTGGCCAAGTTTGGATGCGGTCCGCGCGCGTTCAGTGAGAGGGACTCGACCGTCCTGTAGAAGACGTTTCACCGCGAGTTGTCGCGTAGGCGCGACCGTACGTGTATTTAGCCACGGCACCGATCGATAGTGGAACTACGAACCGAATGGTGAGAGGAAGGGGCCGGGAGGAAGACAGAATTGCCGAACGACGGGAATGCCGTCGGAGTGGGGATCAGAGCGACCAGCGACCGTTTGCACCTGCACCAATGCAACTTTAATCCCACGGTGCTTCGCACGGTTAGTTTATCGTGAGGAGACTCGACCCGGAAGTTTACATGCGCGCGCGAGCGCGCGCGCCCACCAAAGCCGATTCACAAAACTAGTCGGAGGCTGAGAGGATGAAAAGAGTGCGCAACCTTGCCCTCCGTCCACAAACTTCATCCACAGGAAGTGGCTTGTGCACGTGTGCGCGCTCCCGGCAAAGTAATAATGCTTGCACAAAGGCTCTCGAGGTCCCTCGGAGAGAGGGCGAAGGTGTGACGATCAATATCAAGTCGTGTTTATCAGCACGTCGATGTCGTCATGGATCGTCTCTACGTTGTCGACAGAAATCTGTCCTGAGAAGGCCAACGACAACAGTTCAAATTAGTAGCGGCAGTAACAGTATTTGTAACGCCAGTAGCAGTAGCAGCAGCGGCGGTTGCGGCGGCTGCGGCGGCTGCGGCGGCTGTGGCGGCTGCGGCGGTAGCATCGCCGGGATGCCAGCGGACGTGGCGCAGCCACCAAGGACGGCAGGTGAGAGGGGGACGACTTGCTTTCAGTGTTGCGCGAAACCTTCTGTCCTTTGTTCCAACACGATGTGTAAACATTCACGGATTACGCGGAAACAGGACAATTTCGGAGAAGCCGCGGGGAGCTGGTCCATAACGACCAATACTACCATTAGAAATTGAAGTAGTCCGATGCGGAACATGTGCTCGCCCCCTCATCTCCTGCTCTCTGCATGACGGCTTCCGAAGGAGTCTACATCTACTAAAGTGCGCATTGTAACAAAGGAAACTCAATTCAACTTAATATTCAAATACATCATCAAGTCGTCCGTTTTGGAACGCAACTCACATATATTTTTCATGCGTCGTACCCTTATGTCAGTGATAATTACCTCATCATTATAGCTGATTAGCCATTAATTCCTACAATTCGCGTTTACTATTTGTTTATGCTTAAAACGAATTGAGAGTATTATATACTTGTCGAGAATTTAGATTAATGTAATGTTATTAATTACGAAAGCAAATATTTCTTTGTATTCATCGTTCTGTGTAAGCGATTAAACATTCAAATCCGTGAATTAGAGACTCGGACATTAGTATTTTCATATTTAAATTTTTCAGCTATTTAATATATAATAGAACGAGGCTGTGACTACTTTAAGTTTTTTTCTTTTGTATAAGTGATTTTTTTAATAAGTTCGTAAGAAAATGCTATTTGTAATATATAATATTAGAGAAACTAATTTTTTTTTTATTTTAACTAATAGACCAGATTGGGCATCGCTTATGTGTTTGATAAATCAATGTTAATCAGTTTCATTGGCGTTAAACATTTAATAGCTTGGAACATTATAATTATCATATTTTAATTATTCAAAGTATCTATAAATCAGCACCTAAGATATTAAATAAGCCTTGCCTATTGTTAACCTCTTTTTTAAAGTTTCACCCAGTGACTTGAGTATTAAAATTTATCGTAAAGTATGGCCATGATAAAAATTTCTCTTTTTACTTTTTTTTATTATTAATTATTATAATTTTTTTAATTGGTATTAAATTACTTTAATTGATATTTTTTAATTACTATTAATACAATTTTAATTATTTTTCATTTCTGCTTCTATCAAAGAAAATAAATTACATTATAATACGATGCCAACCAATTAACCATTTTTTTCAGCCTCCCTATACATAACACAATCGAAATACAAAACACGCTGTATTACATAATTATATTGAAAATATATTGCTGATTAATTTAATAATCACGGGTGCATACAAGCATACATATAACTCTTTAAGAGATTGTTAAGTATGGAAACATTTGTAAACGTATATCAATAAGGTCGAAATGTGAAATAAGTGTGCGAAGTAAACAAGTTATTTTTACTCTTTATATTTTAACAATTTTCTAATTATATTGTTTTTATTACGGAGTTTTGATACTTTTTATAGATAATAGAATGAAAAAAAATATAAAATTCAATATTATTTGAACTATTTCCATATAATAATATTTAATTTGAAGAATTGTTATACTTATACTATTATATGTTAGATTTATAAAGTTATAATTAGAATTATTACATAATTACAATTATTTGTGTCTACACTGACATATACTAATCAATAAAGTTTTTGAAAAAGAATATAAACTTAATAAAATTGCCTTAATTTTTTTATTGACATTTTAATTTATATATTTTCTATTTTTGTAATAAAAATTTTATAGAAATATGTCAAATGATATCATTTGTAGTTGACAATTAATTACTTTAATGTTATCTGAATTATATTAAAGTATTGCTTTATTGAAATAAAATATTCAACGTTTAAAGATAACCTATCGTGTTCTTCAGAACTAATTTAAATAAAAATAATCCATTTAAAACAAAGAAAATATGTTTCTCTTGTTAAAAACGATTGTCTACGATACATACAATAATTGGTATAAAAATTATAATTAATGAAAATGTATAATAGTAATCATGAAGAAATACTAAGTTTTTAAAATATACATTACTAACAATTGTTATTTAATTTTTTAAAATTTCTATTTAAAAAATTATTATTTAATCTATTAGTAATTCAGATTATCATTTACTAATTATAAATAAAAATTTATTTTAACGTTAGATTGTAAGTAAAATTATAAATTATAAATAAAATTATATATATTATAAACAGCATATTATGATATTTTTAATACACGAATAAATGCTATTGTTATAATTTTCAAAGGTTCTAATTTTTGTTTAAAATTTCTTTAAAACTTAATTGTAATAAAAAAAAACTTAACTATTATTGCTATTAAGAAAGACATTTTCAATAAATATATATTGAAATATTGATTTATAATGCTTTATTTCTATTTATGAATCTTGATCAATATATTTTAATAAAAAATTAAGAATTTATTATTAACAGTTGCTTATAGATATTTAAAGAACATTACAAGAATACCATATTTTTATTAATTATTACATATTATGAATACGATTACATTTATTTTAAAACAAATTTATACAATAATAAATAATAGCCACAACTCTTACGTACCAAATAAAAGCTTGCATTTAATTTGGAATTTGTCCATTTTTATTTTACCTTATGAAAATTATCCTTAAAATATAAATTATAAATTAAAGTGGAAGCAAAATGTCAAAGTATATCAAGGGAAATGTTAACTTTATTTACATATTTATATTATATATAAAGTATTAAAAATATTTTAAGAGTTCAATTTTAAATATACAATTAGATCTAAGGCATTTATTTATAATTTTTATGTTACACAAAAATTATAGTTTGATCAAACAAATATAAATATAACATATCTGATTAGAAAAATTATTTCTTGAATTGTATTCAGTAATACAACGTATAATGTTAATTTATCTGTATTTAACTTTATTTGTATCAAAGGTCAATTACATTAATTATATTATATGATATATGTAATTAGCATTGTGTTGATTACATTTATTTGGTATTAAATTACCCAAAACTGTCCGCTTGAATGAAAATATAGCGCGAGTGTATGTAATATAATAAGCTATCACTAAAGTTGCGATAATTGCACCGTTATGGAAGAATATTTCGTTCCAAAAATTATGGATATTTGATATTTAATAAGTCATTGTACCATAGAGTTCAATTTACAGGTAGACGTCGATGCGTTAGCTATATCTTAGAAAAATTAGTTACTTTAAACGAGGATTCGACGAATACTATTGCAATACGTACAATTTGGGCACATTTGCATTAAGTTTATGAGGCAAACGGAATTTTAAAGAATAATACATCAACGTAATGAAGTCCGTGTGCACTTACCTGCCATAACGCAGTAGCCTCAGTTTTCAGGGTAGCTCATAATTCAATAATCTAAGAACACTAATTTTCATAAAACCAAAAGAACATTAACCTCGTTAAGCGAACTTCAAAATGTCACACAAAGGGATTTACTCCCATCTACAAAGTTGCCATTTTTCCTTTATTCCATGCTGTATTGAAGTGAAATTACATTTACAGGAAGCATCGGTTCTTCGGACCAGCAGAGCTCGAGTTCGTCATCGCTGCGCCTCGGAGACGAGCGCGACATGAAGAGTTTACCGCCCTCCTCTTCCCTCACCGGCATATATCTGCGGAGATTAAGGAGGCGTAGCGAATACACTGAAACTGGAAGCATCGGCTATGGATCGTCCGCACCTCTGGAATCCGAGAGCTCGTATTCCTCGCATCCGGGTTACCCGACAAAGCCCAGTCAGCCCAAGTCGCCTTGTAATGAGCTGCATACAATTCACCTTCAGCAATACCAGCAGCATCATAGCAATCAGGTTGATAAAAGAATAAACAAACGAAAAGAGTATTCCACCCAATTCCATTCCCATGATTGTTCGACGCGACTGAATTTCTCATTATGTCTTCTCTAAAATAGCGTTTTGGAACGACTTAACACTATTACAGAAGAAAAAGTATAAGATCAAATGAACTTCAAAAATACTTTTGAACTAATAAAGGCATTTAAAGATATTTAACATATTAATAATTGTTAACGTTGATTTGGTACAACTAATTTTGCTTTGATGATGTTGTATAAATGTAGCTTAAGCTATATCCCATTAAGTATTAAAAATTGCCGATAATCCAAATTAAATGTTTCCTAATTTTTGTTTAAATTCCAAATGCCACAAAAAATATAAAAATCTTTTTATTTATTATATTCCATAATATACTCCATAAAATAAAAATAAATTAAATCTAAAATCTTTTTTTTATATAACCAATATAAGAAGATTTTATAATTATGTTCTAAAAGATTTGTTAGTAATTTAATAATTTGAATATTAAAAAGTACACAAATATTAAAAAATGACATTTTATCATATTTCATTGTTGATTTCGAGCACAATAATACAAATTCTATACAATGTGGATATCAAGCGTTTAAAAAAGTTTTTATATCTAATATTTATTTTATTAATTTATTATTACTAATTAGTAATTTGTAAAAAAACAACAATTGTCAGCAAATAGTGGTAAGTGTACTGCTATAAATATGTCGCAATACTCAAATAGTTGAATAAGAAAACAATTAAAGATCAAAGATGATAAACTAAATTGTTTATACAAAATAATGAGTATTTATGTCGTATAATTATGTGGGCAACGTGTATAATATCCTGTAAATTTCTACAAAAAATGGTGGCATTATCAGGCAACTTATTGAAATTACTTCAGTTTGATGTTGCTTCTTTCGTTTGTCAGAACCAACAGACAGCGAGTCCGGGTAGCGCAAGGCAGTTATCATCAACGCCGAGTTCGAGGGCCTATGTGGATCTTTCTTTATCAACGAAATTACCCGGATGTGCTGCTGTATCTTTAACTACCTCGAGTAGTAATGATAATCGAAGGTTGGCTAAGACCATAACAGGTGCCATTAAAAGCAGGACCATCGCCTTGTCGGCAGCATCTTCTACGACCATGAAAATTGGCTCCTTATCGACCGAGGCTGAGACTAGCTACGTCATCGACTCCGAAATGGGCAATGTTTACTTAAAAGGACAACTGCTAGGAAAGGTAAATTTTTTTATTCCTTTCCGAATATTTGGAAATAACATATACTTCAAACGAGTTTCAAAGAGTTCTGACTTTGAACGAAGCAACAATGGATAGTGCTTTTCTTAGCTGATTGTATGTATGTAAATATTTGCGAGGTGTAACAGTGAAAAATAAATTGAGTGAACTATAGATTAAAGTTATAATCATTTTCGCACTGATATTATTTCACTAATAATACTTTTTTATACACAATATCTATCGTCTAACCATTAAATTTAGAGTGATTCTAAAACTGATCAAACATTTGTATATTAATAAAGTAGGTTTAAACAGCTCTATTTAAGTCTAATAAGTGATAGAAAATTGATTTATTAATAGATTTTTAAATAAATGTTCGTGGTTTAATGGTATTTTAAAGGATGAATTATAAAATAGAATAAGCTAGAACATTTTCATTCGAATTGGCGATTCTTTTATTATCATATTGAATTCAAATATATGTTGGTAAACGAGATTGGCTATTTCGAACGGTTATTAAAAAAAGTGATTACTTTATAAACATCATTTCATTGTTCCTTTATTTCATTATGAAATAAGTTTGAAAAATCTGAGAACTGTGTATTTGAAAAGAGTAATAAAATATGCCGAAATTTGCATTACTTATGGAAGGGCTAAAAAGTATTGATATTTCATTTACTCCCTACACACAATTATAAAATGAAGTAATTAATCTTTTGAAATAAATTCTGTTTAAATGTATATTTATCTAACGAGCAATTAGATTTAATAAATGAGATCAATTTTTATTTTCATAACCTATAATCACCAAATTTTTATTCCTTGTTAAAACTTTCTCAAGTTCAATATTATCCTATGAAAATGTCAACAATTATTACAAGCTTCCTTAGAAACGAAGAAAAAATTATTAATAGCCTGTACACTAGCCGGTACTGCATATACACTTATATAAAGTACGCAGCAACACTTAAGTCTCTGCAATCGGTGACTGATACTAATGGTATTGTAGCTCGCTAATATCTCATCAATGCACTTAGCAGTGCAATCACATTAGAATCAACAAGCGAAACGCAATCAAAATGACAGAAGGTTAAACAAAAAATAAATGGCACTCGTTCGCTTTGAAAATGTAAATTAAGCAATTAGTTTTCAACGATTAATTATCGACGTGCACATGGCGCGCAAGTGAAAGCTATAGTTGGCCTACGATTCGATAGAGGCCTCCTCTTTTCACTCATCCAAGAAAAAAAATTAGAGCCGAAGTCGTCTAGCCGTGTCGCAAGCGCTGCCAACCCGTTTAGATTCAGTTGCATGGCATATATTTATTTTCAATAGTTGGCGCATAGCCCGATGTCGTCGACCAGCCTTTCCCGCCTTTCATGAAATACGGCAATTTGACGACAAGTATGATGAGAGAAGTGGAAGGAACCGGGAGACGACAGTGATTTTAAAACAGATACGATGGCACTGTTTCGACTTGTGTTCTTGACTTATTACATCGGAGAGCTTTTATTCTTTTTTTTCTTTTTTTGTAAAGACATATCTTACATTATACAAACAAATATACTACTATTGGAAAGATTTATTCATGCGCGGTAGATAGCGGTTCTTAATATATTCATAATAAATTGAAATAGTTATAAAAATAAAATGTTCATCCCTTAACATTGTATTGGCTACAAACGTATTAATATTTTTATATGTCCTTTAAATATATTTAAAAATTTTTAAGTGATTTTTTCATTATGAATTTATTTAATTATTTTTAAATACTTCTTAAAGTTTAAAAGTAAAGTTCTTTTATACAACATTTTCATTTTCGATGTTAAGTTTATCGATTTAGTAAAAATTTCTTTTACAAACATAACTTTAAATTATTTTAACTATCTAAAGCCTTTTCACCTATTTAAAGCCTATCAAAAGCCGTTTTTAAATATAATGTTCTTTATTGCAAAATTTTAAAAAGTTATTACATAAATTATTGTTTTATGTCGAACAGGAACTTTATTTCTTTACAAATTTCTTACTTGTAACATCTTTAATTTTTAATTTCGATCGCTACTTATTATTCACTTAGTGTATTTTATTTAGTTACGATTACGTATAAATAATTTTGTTAAACGCTATATTACAAAATTATAGATGCGTAAGATTCATATAGCTAAAAATTTTATGTAAATTAAATTTATTTATTCTAAATAGGTATATTCGATGTATCTAAATTGTTATAATATTATATAATAAATATTATAATATAAATATTTTAACTAATTTTAGACGTTTGATTTATAATGTATGAAAATTCTAATGACGTTGATCAATTTGAAAAGCTGCGTTCTTATTTATACATTCGTACATAAATAAAATGTATTTTATTTCTCAATATATATTATTCGTTACCGACGTGTGTATGCACATGATACAATAAAGTTCGTTACCAACAATATCTATGGATTATGAAAATTAAACAAAGATCAATATATTCAACAGATTATTAATCAAGCTTATATTATTAAATTATATTATTAAAATATATTATTATTTATCTATATTTAGTGATCATTTTCGATATTTGTATTATTTGAAGAATATTAAAGCATAAAATTTTAAGTAATTTTAAGTAATATTTTTAGAATTTGTAAAAGCTATTTATATTATTTTTTATTCTTATACTAAGCGGAATATAGTTTATGTTTATCTAATATTTATCCTTTGAGTAAGAGAATCGACTTTTGTCTGGCAACTTTCCTCATTATTGTTTCAGGGAGGATTTGCACGAGTGTATCTCATTACTGAAGTCGCAACAAAAAAACAATATGCTTGTAAAATTATTTCAAAACATCAAATGCAAAAAATCCACATGCAAAAGGTACGAAAGTAATTCTTAAATATTGATAACTTACATATGTCGAATAGTTGATATTTAATGAAACCTCATTATGATTTTAATCTTTTATTCCTGTCTTCTAAATGGAAATATTTTGTCAAAAAAAAGTTTACAAAAAAAAGTTTAAAAAAAAGCTTTTTATAGAACAATACTTTTACATATATTCATTTTAACTACTAGATTGCTCGTGAAATCATGATTCACAAGGAATTGAATCATGAAAACGTTGTACAGATGCATCATTACTTTGAAGACAGCTTGAACGTCTATATGCTGCTGGAAGCTTGCCCAAAAAAGGTAAATATAATGTATATGTAATTTTATAATCAATATTCGATACTATTAATAATCAAAATTTTCTTATTAATGTGCAGTTTATTCAGTATTATATTTAACTGCTTCATAAATTATTACATAACTACATAATATTGTTATGTTTACAACGTTGCTATTAATTATTTAAAGTGAATATGAAAAATTTGTTTTATAAAAAATTTTGTATAAATAAATTTTATACCTAATTTGAACAAATTTGAATAATAACTAGGAACCTTTACAATCTGAAAATATTATGAATTTACATAGAAAATAAGTTTTATCCTAAATTTGTTCTTCAAAACTTCAAAAAAATAAAGAAAATTGATTTTGTTTAAAGTAGGAAATATTCATTGATAATCTATATTTTAAATCCTCTTGAAATTTTTTATATATTAATTATTTTGTATGACATAATATATAATATAATAATCTAATTGTGAAAAGAAAATTATTCTGTTTGAAATGAAAAAATAATTTTATATTATATGTTTAAATTATTTAACTATAATTATATATATATATATATATATATATATATAATATACTATTAGAAACGTCAGCTGCAATGTACGCAATCTTCCATTTGATAAAAGTAAAATACTTTCTATTCATTCTATTCTTTTATGATATTTTATAATAATACTTATAATGTGACTATAATAAAAATAACCTTGTACTTTGAAATTAATCGTATTAAATGCATTAAGTATTGCAAATGAATAATACGAGAACATTATATTAGTTTTTTAGAATTAATTTAAATTACTATAAACACTTATTTGATTATATTTGAATTATAAATTATCTCACTTTTCTAATGTTGGTATACTTAATAAATATCTATTCTTAATTAAAATATGATAATTCTTATTAGATTAATTTTAGTCTTCGAGACGTTTCAAACTAAATTTATTAATAAATGGTTTTAACGTATATATTAAACAAAATATAAAGTATTATTAATTTTTAATTATTGTAAAATAAATTTTACAACTCGTAATACTCGTAATAACTCGTTTTCCTACATACATAATTAATTATAATTAATGATACACAATTAATTAATAAATGATTAATTACACGGTATCTTTTTTAGTCTAACAATTAATAATATTTGATATAATATCATATATTTATTTATAATTATAAGTTACTTAAGAACCTAAACTATGATTGAAAAGCTATTTATCAATGTGGCATTTACGTTAATGATTATATACAGTAATATTTTTAATGAAAAAAAAGAAAGTAAATGAAAGATTGTTTTTTATTTTTCCCGTTGTTTTCTATTTAAAACATTTGCATGCATACTGAATTTACTAGGTAATATGTATTCAATACATAAATACCATTGTAAATAAATTTTTTCATTTTGTATCTTACTTTTAAGAGATAAGTATGTTTAAACTTTTGGCTATATAGATTTGGTCTTTGTATTTTATACACATTGAACTCTATTTTTCAAATAATCAATAAGCGATCAATAAAAATATTTTTCGCTACTAACAATGATATTTTATTAAGTGTCTATTAAAATTACAATTTGGAATATTTTTTAATATTAGTCGGTTATGTGATTCAAATAACAATAATAAAATAGTACTTCACAGTACTGAATAACTAATAGTTTAAGACTGAAAAGTCAATTTATATAACTCAAGTTATCTCAAATTAAAAAAAAAAATAGTATCATAGATATTTCATTTGGTCGCTTTTCGCTGATTTTATTATATATAATGAATATTATAAAAAAACAGCAAAGTTTGAATAAATTTTTACATGTATATTCTTATTTGTATAATATTAGAAAAATACGTCCGAAAAATATGATAAAACTCACATACATATAAATATCTATCAAGAATTTCAACTTGCAATTTCATTATTATATTTTTTACATTATTAAAATATTTTTCTTTTAATGTTCGCAATAATTGACGATGTAATTTGTATAATTTGATATACAATCTTAAATATAAATATAAGATACAATTCATAATATGTTACTGCTAGAGGAAATGTATTGAAATATGATAATATTCTACTTTACTAAAGTTATTGATAATGATCATAACTAAATGACTTTTTTCTTTAATCACATCCAGTATTCATATTTGAGAAGTAACTCATGTGTTCAAGGTCTTCATAGTTTGTTTTCAAAATAACTTTCAAATTTTTAAATATGCAACGTAGCATATGTCGGACTAGTTATTATAACATAACGTTCCGTCTAACTATTGCTATCTGCTTTAAATTTACCAATAGTTAATGCCAATAAACGTAAGTTGGTCCGATTACTTTTATTCGTTCGGATGACCCAGTGCTCATTCAAAGTCGAGAACTTTATGTTCCTAAAGCTTTCATGATACTATGAACTAAACTGAATATTTACTGTGGTCACAATACATCGGCAAATGAAATCAAGAACCTTATACACAGCCAAAATTATGGACTTCTAAAAAAACAAAGGCGAAATTAAAAAATAGATAAAAACTAATGGTTCCCATGTTGCTCAAAGAGAAGGTTGCAACTCTAAATCACATGACGGAATCATATGAATCATGTGACGAATATATAATGGAAGCTTATCTCGTTTTTGTGGCCTTGACCAATGACGAGGAAGCGATCGTCGATATAAAATGGCTGGCGTGAATCGTATTGAAAATGAGCGTCGGTAAGTTGATTGGTACGTTTGCTTTTATCATGCGCTACACCACGAAGATAGAATAAATGAGAGAGAAGTGAAAGGGGGAAGACTTACAATCTGGTCTGTTCGTTTATGTGCGTTATCGACGCTCGCCAGAATGTATTTCCTCTTTACGGTCCAATAAACTATTTCTCTTTCTTTGTTTTTCGCACATTCTATTTGCCTTCAAATGCAGCGGAATATTTCTTTTAAGGTATAGACGCAAGCCTGTGTCAACTCAAAGCAAGATACACATATGTGGTCATTCACTAGGTTTTCTTCGCTCATGAAAACTTCGACATGAAAACTAGGACACGGTTTTTTAGAGGTGAACATAGTTTTATTAATAATCTTATACACTTTTCATATTGTCAAAGAATTTTAATAATTAACTTTAAAAATCACCTTATTGAATGTAATTATATTTTCAAAAAATGTAGCATAATAGAACAGAGTATAGCAATCAAAAAAATTTTAGCAGTTAATTTAATAGCAGTTAATTTAATTTAATACTACATTTAATTTTTGCAATTTATGTAAAGTATAATTAAAAACTTATCAAATCATGGTCGATTAGAGAGACTAAATATGACAAATATGTAAATATGTTTTACATCAACGTACAGAAAATATAATATACATTTCTAAGAATACGTAATATAACGTATACATAATCCTATTCTATTGAATTTTCTATTGAAAGAAACTGGAAATTTCTGTTTTTAATGTTTATACCTTTATGTAATATAGTTTTATTAGAATTGGAAAAAAGTTAAAACACTTGATAGTAAACACCGATCACTCGAATAATATATTAATAAAATGGTATAGAATTGGATACATAGGATATAATCTTGGAATTTACCAATTTTGTTGATGGTTTGATTTTCTAACTAATTAATATATTCTATTAAATAAGCATTATATATATATATATATATATATATATATATATATATATATATTATCTATTAAATAAGAGTTATTTTAATACATTTTAAATATTTTTATTTTTATTTTATGCACCATTTAAAGGGATATTACTACTGTAATAAATAATAATGATTCTTAAATTAAAAAAAAAATTTTTATATTAACAAAATTTTCTTATCATTTATTGCTGCTTTCTGAGGTAAATTTTTTAATAAAATATAATTAAGGTTGACAAAATGAGTTACTTTATCAAGTACTTTCTTTATATTAATATTGAAATTAATATAAAATTGTATATTTCGTAATTTTTACTGGGGTAGTATTTCCCAATAATACAGAAAATTATATACATCAGTGTTAACGTCTAAGAGAAAGTTACATATTCTTTTTATCACATCATTATAATTATACATAAGGTATTTATTATAATTATGTATTTAAAATATTAATTAAAATTAAATTAAATACTTAAAAATAAAGTTAGTATCTACTTTACGGATTTTAACATGATTGTATTTACATTGAATACGCAGACATATAGACATACTTTGAGGCCGTAATATTCGATCTCTTTACTTTATTTCTGCTATATAATACATATATAAAGTAGAACATGTCAGGTGCAAAGATCTCATAAATTTAGATAAAATATGTGTGACAACCCTGCGCATATCGACATTGTTTTAACAGGGTGAACAGCATATATTTAATTACATACAATTTTATAGTATTTAAGCTTGAAAATAAACCAAAATTAATTTGTCACATTTTGAAACACAATTATCATGTTTTAATCCCAACCTTTTGCTTATATATTTTCTTTATATTTATTTCTATTTTAAGAAAATATATTATTTGTTTTTGTAAAGTATTTATACATTTTTTCTTATTATGGTCAATTATGTGAATAGATAGATTTTTAATTGCTGTATCGATGAATATGCCAAGTATATGTTAAATATATGATAAATATATGATGTAATATAATTGCGTATAAATAACAAATATTAATCTATTTAGATAACACACGAATTTAATAGATTTAGCATTATTAACATTAAAAAATTTACTATATTCATTGAATTCATTTTTATGTATAATTATTGTGATTATTTTATAATATTACTCTTAAAAAATCCTTAATAATTTCTTAAAGTTTGTAATATTTTTAATACCTTTTTTTGTAATAGTGACGCATTTATAAAGAGATGAGTATGTGGACGGTTTTGTGTAGTTTTCTTGTTAGATTATTGATAAAAAGTATACGAAAGTAAATAAATGTTCATAAATTATCGAATATAATGGCTTTCTCGAGGATTTGCTGCAGTTAAAATTGAAATTAATTAAGATATCATGAAGATAATTCGACACGTAGTCGAAGGCATAATCGAGTGAAACTACTTTCGTCTCACATTTTAGTCTCTTCTTTTTCCTTGACCAATAAATCTGTATTTTTAGAGTTTGGTGCATGTATTGAAGTACCGAGGTAAAGTCACGGAACCTGAAGCGCGCTATTATATGAAGCAAATGGTTAATGGCGTTGCGTATATCCATTCCCAAAAGGTCATACATCGCGATCTCAAGCCTGGCAATATGTTCTTGTCTGAAAGAATGATCGTCAAAATCGGAGACTTTGGACTCGCAACCCAACCCGACAACCAAAGACGCAGAGTGTGAGTTTAACTCTTCTTCGATCTTCATTTTCATTTTTAATTGTTATCTTTTGACTTTGGAGTACAATTTGGTGCCTTAAGCTTGGATTTATTCATGCTCATTTATTGTGGTAAATATTAAATTTGAATTTTTTTATTTTAATGCAATATTAAATATAAGGTATATTAAGCGGCTATCATCCATGCTAGTCTTTTGATCTTATAATTTGTTTTAATCTTGATATATTTTTAAAAATGTATAAATAAGTTATGAAAATGTAAAAATATGGTATATTTTTATTTTGAGTTAATGCTGTAGAGTATCTTCTATCGACGTATATTCATGTAAGTAACGTCAATACCATGCTGATATAACAAAATTTAACAGTAATTTTGATATTTTACCGTACAGTCTGTCTTAATTCTTCATAAATATTAATCCCACATTCTTGCTCTTATTTTCAGTTATTATTACATTATATAAGTTTTTTGGAAATAATTTGAATGTTCGAATTTTTTATATATATATCGTTCGATTTATTGTAGCTATAATGAAAGTATATAAATAATTTAGAAGAGATTATCTTAGTTAAAAAGTAAAGAAAAGAGCTGAAAGCAACGGCCTTGAGCCACATTTTAAATGCTTATATTCTATAATTGTTTTAATACATGATTATAAAAATATAATTAAGTATATACATTTTAGGAATTTTGTTTTTGAAATTTAATTATTTTGTAGAGTTTTAAAAATTTACGTTCAAAAAATTTTGTAAACAACTATTGGCTATTTTTCAATATAAAATAGAAGAAATAAAATATAGAAATAAATAAATTTTAACTTAAGACAATTTTGAGTACCGTAAAATAAAGGAAGTTATAAATAAGAAATAAATAGTCAAAATACAATAAATAAATTATTTTGTCATATTTCATAATGTAAATAATATTTGTATGTCATTTTTTAATTAAATTACATAGACAATATATATTTTATAATTATATATTATATATTTATAATGAATTACAGAATAATAAAGAAATTGTAAACTTATATGTCACTTTAATTTATATTTATTAATTATTGTTTTTTTAACAGAAAATAATATTGAAATACTTGATATTTACTTTCACACGTCATTTAATTTTACTTTTATGTTTACATTGTCTTTATAGATTTATTCGAATTAATACAAAATGAATTAATAATTTATCAAATAAGATACGACGAATCATTTTGAATTAATCTATGTAACGATTTATTCGATCTATCAGATATCGAATAAGAAAATATGAAATACTTGAATAGTTTTCTAATTAGATTTTAACTGAAGATCAGAAAAGCATAATATGGAAATCATTACAGGACGTTATGCGGTACTCCGAACTTTATAGCACCGGAAGTGTTGTTCAAACATTCCTATAGTTACGAAGCAGACGTCTGGGCCCTCGGCTGCATCCTCTATGCCCTGCTCGTTGGCCAAACACCCTTTGACTCGACCACTTTAAAAGAGACATACGCGCGCATTTGCAGCCATCGTTACAAAGAGCTCGATGATACGATAGCCACGAGTGCCGGCCAGGACCTTGTACGATGGCTCCTGCAGCCTATCCCGGAGCTCAGGGCCACTGTCGAGCACGTCAAGAAGCATCCCTACCTCACCAAGGAGTACGTACCTGCGAGTTTGCCCGATAGTTGTTGCTATCAAGTACCCAGACTTTCATTCGTCGAGAAGACCTCTGCATTCGAGAGTCTCCCCTCGACTTTCAACTTCTCATCCGGACACGATCGCGATTTTGTGAGTTTCGTTTAAGTTTTCTCCGGGCCGAAATTCCCAATGTTATCATAAACATCTTATGCATCATATTACTCTTACACGTCAATATTATGCATTTCATATAAACGCGCGTGCCTTATTGCAAAAATCTGTAAAAATTTGATAGAATAGAACTGCATTTTTCATAATTGAATTCTCGTAATTTGAAAACTTTACATCACTTATAATAACTTTATATTACCGATATTAATACTGAACAATATAATTATAGAATTTGTATTATCCGTTTCCCTTTATAGTTCGAACACATCTCAACTAAATTTATGCTAAAAAATAACGAATTTACGAAAGTTATAACCCGATAATATAGTTTTCAGCTTTTCTAAAAAAATTTTGATACATGCAATTCTAAATAAAAATTATATATTGATGATATATATTGTTATAAACATTTTCAATTGAACACAATTTTGCTGCATATAAAACTATAATTGGTAAAAAAAATTACTAAACATACAATGAACGGACGAGGCATATTATTCATTAACACTATAAATCAGTATTCGGTCAATTTAAACTTTTTACAGATCAATCAATGGAATATTATTTAAATTGAAAAAATTAAATAAAATAATTTTTATTACTACAGAGTATTGGTTAAGATAAAAATCAAATTATATAAAAAAATATTTATACCTTCAAATTTTACATTTCATACATCAACTTATAATAATCTAAAACTATTATTTAAAAGAAATATTCTCGAAGAAAAGGATATGACGATTCATAATTTTCAATAATAATTGACAAAATTGAGAAAATCATTATTTTGTGTGTGTCTCCGTGCATGTGCATTTAAGTGATAATGATAAATAACATCAACTTTATAAAGTATATTCATTAAAAATTGTCATTTTATTCTTCAACGTAATTTAAAAAATGTCTATTGTTATATTGATATCTGTAGTATAATGTGGAAGGTGAAAATTATCTTTATTATTTAAATGAATTAAGCATAGAAAAGAAAAAGAAAGCACTAAAGCAATATGGTAATGCTGGTATTTTTATATGAAAAGACAAATATCGCTGCATGTGTACGCGCGCGCGCGCGCGTTTGTGTATGCGCGCGCGCATGTGTGTGTATGTGTGTGTATTTTCATAATAAAACTGAGCGTTAAGAGTAGTATTTTAAAATTAATAGGAGGAAGTAGAGCATTGAAGTGCGAAGCTGTTTCGTCGTATCGACCAAAGTGTCAACCTTCACGAATGAAGCAACTCTAAATTATTAAATAATGCACGCATGCCAATAGAGAAGCGCGCGCAAAAAATAAGCTCGTTTCCTCTTGACGCAAACGGGTGCGTTAAAACGCAGATACACTCAAATGCGAACTTGTTACCAGGTGAACGAGCAGGAGCAGGTAATCCAACAGCACATGCAGCAACCACAGTCGAGCTCGGGACTGTCACACAAGTCTTCCCAGACCAGCAAGAAGAGCAAGGTCAAGGGCAAAAAGAAGGTGTCGAGCTGGCTAGCGAGCTGGCGTCTGCCCAAGTTGCCGCGCTTCCGTCGCAGGATCAGCAGTGTTATGTGTTTGGAGGCGCGAAAAAAGCAACAGCAGCAACAACAAGGGGATCTGGGCCCAGGACTCGAGGGACCCGCGACACATAGCCAGCAAATAAGCAAGGCTCTCGAAGAATGCCTCGCAGCTACGGGAAAGGGTCCACCATCCGAATGCAACCCGCCCCTCGTTCATGATTATGCTCCCCTCTTCGTCACCAAGTGGATCGACTACTCTAACAAGTACGGCCTGGCCTTTCAACTGTCGGACAAGTCCGTTGGTGTGCTCTTCAACGACAGTACCAAAATGAGCTACACTTATGATAGGAGGTAATGGAAGGGACAATACTATTTTAATAATAGCTGCATATATTAAGTCATGCTTATTAAATCTTAATCAATGTACTTATATCGGAGGACTGAAGCGCCAATAACATTTCCAATTATTCATTTTTGTTACCATATCTGGATTTGCTTAAATTACTCAAATGATCCATCCAATCACTTTGCATGCTTTACTACTATGGATAAAGTAATTAATTAATCACAAATAAAAAAAGTTTTTGTTATTTTATAATTTTTTTATTGTATAACGTATTGGATTCATATATATTATGAAAGTGCTGAAAGGCTTGTATAAAAAAAAAATAAATAAAAAACATTTTGTGTGGTATAACTAACTATTTTTCTTTATGTATGAAATATTTGTTAAAACAATTGTTTATCTTATAAAAACAGTTACTTTACAAACAAGATCAACTAAAAGTAAAATTAATTGATTTTTTTTAATAAAGTATAGAATAGTTGAATATACGTTGTATCAAAGACTAATACATTTTTGTGTTAATATTATTAAATATTTCAGACGAGTGGAGTATATGACAACGGATGGTGAAATTATAAGATACAATCGCGAAAGAAATATCCCTATAGATTTGCAAAAGAAGCTTGACTTACTACGACATTTTACAGACTATATGGATAAACATTTAACGGAAGGTAAAATCAATGAAAAATTTATGTACTTTGAATATTTTATTTACATATGAATTGCATATTACAATGAATGAATAATGGTCAATAGACAATAATGTTAATTTATTATAACACTATTCTATACTTCACGTCCGATAATGCAACACGAATTCCATGGCTTCAACAACTTAATAATATATTCTACATATATATTCAGCTAATGCTTTTAATAAACTTTATAATATTTATAAATTAAACAAAATTTTTTAATTTTAAATCATTTTCTATTAATATAAAATCATTCAAATAAAAAATATATATTTCTATTTTCTCACAAACACAAAGGCAATAACGCATGTTTTCTTTTTTAAATTAATTTGGTATTATATTGTTAAAAAGCAATTAAATTATAAAACATCAAGATGTAATTATATAATTTAAGTAAAAAGTAATTACTACATTTTGAAACATTTGTACATATTCATTTTCAAATAATCCAATATTTTACGACATTATTGCTTTAAAAAAAAATACAAAGTTAGTCCGAAAGAAAGATAGATATTTTTATAACTACATAAATCTACATTAAATAGAGGTTTGTTTATCATATTCATATTCACAAAAATATTTATAGTTATACGTAATGATGTTATTAATGTTGATTCATAATATTTGTTATCTGTAATCTTCAGTATTTAATCGATTAATAGCAAACACATATAATTTTTATTTATTATTTATATGAATTTATTAAAATTATTGTTTTATTATTTTTTACACAACAGAGTATTTAATATTCAAATTACTATAAATTATTTATTATATTTTATTCTGATTTATAATAAAAATTAATTTATTATAATCGGCAATTTAAACTTGAAAGTTAACAAAAAAATAATCATAATTGCAAGGATAAACATTAATTTAATTGAAAGAATTTTTATCTTCTTATAACTTTTACTATGTACAGCTAGTAATAAGAATTATATTTGCAAAAGTTATAAGCAAATAATAAAATTGATGGCATTATTAAGAATTTTTGAAAAATTTTATAACAAATTTTTTTATATTTTCTTTCTTGAAAAAAGAAAAATTCAATACAGCAATGGAACTATGAAAACTTGTATTTAAAAACTGTTTCTTTTATATAACAAATACTTCTCATTATTGAGTTATCGATTAAAATAAAATTTTCAGCAAATATATTAAGCCACTATATTATGAAAAACCAAATTTTTAAATTTCAGATTTAAGAAGAGAAATTAATACTTTATCATCTGTTAGTCGTTTAAATTTCTTTCAAAATATAAATTATCCGTGTCTCCATAATATTACAAGAGCAAAATTCGTAAGCATAAGTAGGTACTCGAAAATTTGTAACGACATAATTTGTTTTCTACACATAGCATACTTTTGAGCTCAAATTTGTTACATTAAACGAATGGCATAATTAAGAATTTCACGAGAGTCAACTAATCGAATGTAATCTGTGTGCTTAGGTGGCGAAATCACGGAGCACCAAATCGCCGTGCAGGGTGGTCAGCGACGTGACGCAAGGAATGCTAACGTACCGATAATGCACCGTTGGCTACGCACGAGCAAAACCATCGTTATGGAGCTAAATGTACCCCTCGTTCAAATGAACTTCCTCGAGGATCACACGAAACTTATTGTATCGCAGCAGCCACGCGGAGGTTACTTTGTCACCTATATCGACGGTGAGCGCCGTGCCTCTACTTATCAACTCGACGAGCTACGCAACAGTGGCTGCAGCCCCGAGCTCCATGATAGGCTCCTCTACATCTACAAAGTCACCAAGGAATTTGCCGAGCTTGATACTGCGTAGACTCCCTAGCTACCCCCCCCCCCTCTCCCTATCTATCTTCAGTGTTCTCGAGGAGGGCTACAAGGTTTCCCCGTTATAAGTGAGTTCGATGTAATTATAAGCGATGATTCATGATTTTCCTTTGATTTTTTTTCTTTCTAACATAATTGTACGTAGCGATTCCTCTTTTTTTATGTTAGGCGAGCTTATCATCTGGCGATCGACTTGTCGACTAATTTAAAAGTATCTTTTCAATGAAAGCGCTCTCTTACGGCAATTTATAATAATGTGTCGTGTATTACTTGGGAGCTCCTGATGATACGAATAAACTCTACATTTTGTATTATGCAGAGTATAGAATCTTAAAGTTTCATAACATGACTGTGATATACGTATCTAGATGTGTCATACAAAATTCTGCCATCAAAATTTTCACACTGTTCGAAAATTTCTTAATTTTTTTAAACTTTCGGCAATCCATTTCACAGTCAAACATTTCGTTTTCATCGTAGAATAATCAACAAATAATCCTATAAGCAATTATTGAAATCAAAGCAATAACTTAGTTAATATATCATTTTTTTAAATGATTAATTTTAGTTAATGAAATATGAAGTAATTATATACAATTTAAAAGGAAGAGAAAGAAAAAGTAGAAGAATATTGTTGTTTAACTATGTTGTATGCAAACTTATACGTTTAAGATTGTTTGAATCTAGAACAACATAAACATTTTTACATGATTGAATGTCAGATTTGGAAAATCGACAATACATGTTTCGCGGATAGAACATTAATGATTAATAATAAATATTTCGATGTTATTCATACTAATCTCTGTCACGGTCGTCAAGGGACTCTTTTTGAATCCTGCTATTGACCACGTGTTCTGCTACACTTGTAAATGTTTCATTTTGTTTCCATATATTTCCCCTTCGCATTATGTATTTGATTATCTTGATATATCAGTAATGTCAATGTTCTATCAGCGAATTTTTATTGAAATCTTATGCTATCATCTTCATAAAAAAAATTCGATTGGTTGGTTCCGTTTTGATATTTCAAAACATTTCTGGTCTTACATCGGTTGTAATGCATATATTAATGCACGAATCTTAGATGCAAGTAGGACTATACCAGATAATATTAGTTATTTTTATTAATTATATTCATATTGATTTGTATACATTAATAAGTTATTTGTATTGCCATATTCGATCTACCTTAATTTATTATCTAAATTTCTAGCATAGTGATATATGATAGTCTAAATGTAAACTTATAATCGTCTCAATCAGTCTTCAATAATGGCATTGTCGTCGATATCATCGTTGTGACAGATCTTGAAAACCTTCATGTTAAACGATGTCGAAAAACACTATTGCTACCGGTGAGAAATTACAATTGAAATGTCTAAAAATAAAATTTAGCTAAAATGATTACGACACATGTAAAAATGATATGGATAATTCGTAATCATAGACACTGGTTGCCCCATGCTTTTGTATCAGAACAACACTTATTACTATATCATAAAAATATCTAATAAAATACTATCCAATTAAAAAATAATAAATAAAAGTGTTACAGATCTCATAAATACAACCAAATATCTGTAAAAGATAATAAACAAGTCTATCACTATTTTAAACAATACATTATAGGAATTGAGTGCTAAAATTATACTTCATAAATGGTTTAGAGATATTAGAGGTATCATTTATGAATATATGTTTTAACGTACTAAATATGTATCAAAAAAGGAGCTACGTTTGCGACTGAAGTTTGAAATTTAATTCCCTAGTTCATTCGCACTACCTTAATTTAGTGTACTTAATGAAGTTTTGGCGTCTGCAGTTAGTAGTAAAATTGTAAAAAATTTCTAAATAACAATAATGAGTATCGTATTGTCTGTTTCTGTAATTCGATAAGCATCTGAGTGCCAAAAATTGATAGACCTTTTAATTAAAAATTCTCCTACATGAGCATCCTTGGCCATTTTGCTTTTTAAAAATATTTGCCATTAATTAATTTATACACTTTTTTGTTTATTCTAAAAATTAGAAAATGAAGAAATGAAAGTTTAGATTTAAGTTTTAGATCTAAATTTTGCAAAATGCAGCTAGTAGAACAATGCATTTCTATTCATTAGTGAATTTGTAATTATAATAAATACTTTTCGATTCAATCAATGACATAATATCAACTTGAATATACAGAATAAGTTGAATATATCCGAATAATAATGGCTTAAGTAATATACGAGTTCTATATTTCTTTCTAATCCTCCATTAAGTGTTACTCTTATCAACTGTTTTTATCTAAAGCCATAAAATCAATATGATTTAAGTAAGAAATCTCAATATGTTATTATCAATCAGGGAAATATTAAATTATATTGGTGTGTTTAAATTGATGCCGGATAATTATTTGTAAAAAACATTATTTTTCTTTACTTTTCAAATCAATTTATATACAATGCAGATTAATTTCTTATCTTTTTTTGCGTTAGAAAACAAATAATAATTCATCATAAATACTCTAGATCGACTTAATTTGCATACCAATTGAAAATGCCAAATTCATATATTCGTATATAGTTAATTAATAAGAAAGAAATATAACTGGTTAAATAATAAGTTTAACCAAAACAACGATAATGTGATAATGATTGAATAATCGAAAAAATCTATGTGTATAAAAAATATATGCCGTATTTTCTATGCCATACGCGTCATACCGTGTATACGTCTACTTATTTGCAAAAAATAAAAAAAATAAAAACTTGTTGAGGTATATATTTATATGCCTCCTAGTCAATCATTCTCAAATAAAGCCTAGAGATAACAAAGAAGAAGATAGCAAAGAATAAAAGTCTTTTCAATCATAGTACATGGCAGAAAAACACTGCCAATAGACTCAAGGCTGCATTTAGGTTTTCCAATTACAAAAATAAAACAGTGTGATGATTCGGTGCGATATTTGATAAATCATCGTTAATAAAATATATCATACTAAAATATATCTTCACGAGCTTATGATTATGAATTCTGAAATTCATATGCATATTCTGGCTGGTCATTAATACAGGTTAAAAACTGGTTAAAAGGTTGAAGAATTTGATTATTATTTTGGGTTTGCATTAACCAATTTGTTGTTTCTATATAACAATTTATCGATATTTTATCTTATTTGTTAATCTGTGATTATATTATCTACAAAATGTGGGTTAATGCAATAATTCTTTTTCTAAACTAATTCAGGGGGAATGCAGAGTAACATAACGATTTCAACAAATTATAAATATATTCTGATAATTGTATTAGTAAAATTATAAAGAATTAGCTATTCGACAAAAATAAGTTTAACATATTACGTTGTATTAATTGGTTTCATTTAAATATATAATTGAGCGCAGTGTAATAGATAAATTATATATTATTACAAAATTATTGTTCAGATTTATGTTTAGTAATACGCTTGAATCTGTCAATCGTACTATATTAGTTTAAAATGTATTATTGGAATAAAATCGTTGTTTTTTTAAGATTTTTGTACTCAAACTTTTATTAAGTTTATTGAAATAAAACCATTTTAATCAATTAACGATGATTAAATTTGCTTTTGATTGTTATATACGTATTTAATTGTATATTAAGGAATAAAGAAGATAATTGCTATTTAAAAATTTTTTATAATTATGAAACATTAATTATACGCTTTTATTAAAATCCCAATATTTAAAAAGAATTACAGTACATCTTGAAATAATCTAAATTAATAACCAAGTATAACGTAAAAACTTTTTTCCTACATTTGTAGATACATGTATACAGATATATACATACTGTCACCTATTTATATATAACATACATAACATATATAACGTATATCATAACTAAACAAAAAATTTAACAGGGAAGTTATTCGAAGAAAAAAGTCAAAAGGCCATCTGCATTCATACAATTGTTTCTGCTATTAAATCATATTAATAACGAATGACTGATACAAATCAAAAGATTTTATGCTATATGTGTATTTTTATGGATGCGTGTATGTATGTGTATGTATGTGCGTATAATTTGCGCATACTCTGAGTGAAGTTAAATACAATGGTAATTAACGTCTTCATTTTTTAAGTTCTTCCGTTGAGTACTTATTTGAATTCAGAAGATTGAGGCCAACATTATGTATACTACTAGAAAAGAAAGTTTACAGCACTTTATAACTTCAAAATCAACCATTTATAATTGGCTATAATTGCAATATTAAAAAGAATATGTAAAGTATAAAAAATAAATCTGGCGATGTTGTTATGGAGGTGAAAGGAATTGTAAAATAATAATGCCGCGAACTTTATTTTTTATCAGAACTTTTCTCTAGTTATAAGAGTTTACAAATGAGAATTGAATAAAAGTGGAAACAATAATATATTACGCTATCAAGTGCTTTATACGAGTCATTTCATTACACACGTGATAAGAATCTCAATAAAGAATCTCAATAAAGTAAAGATCTCAAGGTTAAATTTTGTATCTTATATAATCCAGCCATTGTTCCGTTCCAGTGTCATTTAGAGTTCACTTTTAAATCTGAAAAGCTCTTTCTTGCTAGATGTACTTATTAAAATCCTTTACTATATTTACATGTGATGCGGTACAAAGGTGATTATTTGATAGGTTCAGTTTTATTTTATACTTTATATTCGATTTTACATAAATTGTTATATTGATACTTTAAAGTATCGAACTTTTCTTTTGATTTTTAGATTTAATTAATAAGATTGCAACATTAGTTCCATAACTATTGAATTATCTATTTAAATTATTCATAATATATTTAAATTGTAGATATTATTTTTTAACAATTAACTTAAGTCGGTTATCATACTTGTTACTGTATACAAATCTATTACATTCTCGAGACTCTGTGTTGGTAATACATTAATCGAAATAATGCAATGTTATAGAATATGACTGTTCTATATAATTAATTCATACAATACTTGAAAAATGATATTAGATTATATATTACGAGCATTGAGCATCATAAAGTATCAACTATAATATAAACATTAATATTGATATTTTATCACAATATTGAATTTCAAGATGAATTACAATTATTATTGTCCAAGTATCTTGAAATAAACATTTTGCAATATGTGATTAATTGAATAGTTTTCGCATAACGTTGCCTACAAATAACTATGAAAAACATTTTATTACGCTAAAGCTTAATTAAAAAGTCCCAGAAATGTTGTCATATTTTGAGAATATAAAATCACTTTATTATAAAAATTATAGTTTGAATTAATAATAGTTATTGGAATGTAATCATTTTTCTAATAAAATTTAAATACTATATGATTTTTAACATGTTTTGAACATAAAAATTGTTTTAAAATTAAGACAATAATTATTTGTATTTGTAATGTATAATAATATAAAGAAACATTGGAAAAGGAATAAATTTAAATAGACTTATTCAATTGCAATATTAATCTTTCTTGTCAAAATTATAAAATCAATCCCCTTATTTTTAAATGTAATTGTATTCGCGAGAAAAGTAAAAAATTTATGTCTTTAGAAAGATAATAAAATATTTTAATCTATTCCTTTACTAAATTTACTCATATAAATATATTTTACATAACGCAAGATATAAAATATCTGGTACACCTAATTTTAATAAAATACTAGCATAAGAACCCTAGCGCAAAAGTTCGTTGCTGATGACGTTCGTTTCGGTATTCACAAATTAAGTGCAAACAAACTCATTAAACAACTGGTATTTTTTGTGAAGCTTTTGCTTACTCGAAGGTGAATATTCGAAGGATGCCCTAAGTTTAAGAACTGCGTCATTGTTCAGAATTCGTACTGGGTGACGACAATAAAGATCTTGGCGGAGGTACTTCCTGCAAAATTTCCGCTCGGCCCGTATACCTCCATGGAGAATTCGAGCTCGATGTCCTGAGGACCTTCGAGACTTTGTGTCAACACGAGGACCGCTTGCGCGGGATATGGTTTACGTAGAGCGAAGCAGGATTCCGTGGCAGGCTTGACGTGTGGCGGGGCACTCGCACCGATAAAGGCCATACTGAAGTTCACGGTCGAATCGAAGAGCTTATACGCACCGCGCATCGTGAAGAGCTCGAGCTCGCCCGTACTAGCTGGTATCGGGAACAAAGAAACGATGCTGATGTAATTGTAAGTATAGTAAGCTGGTCGCTGGAAGCAGGCTTGGTCGTGAATTGGGCAAAACGGACTCTCCGGCATACAGCGGCTGCAAAATGATCAAATGAGTCACGATTAATCTCGAGCTATTAATTAGCGCAAAAGGTGAACAAATACGATTAGTCTCGCTTCTCCAAGCTCTTAGCATTCGATTGGTTACTTTTATTCGATAACTCGACAAATCTTGGATGATAATTAATATCGGTGCAACAACCATTACTAACCAAAATGATCAACATTATCAAGATTTTATTTTAACAATATAATCTAACAGTAATAGCAATTTAAAAAAAAAAAAAAACTAAGCCTTGATATTGTACCTTGTGATTGTAGGTAAAAGCTTGTTAATTTTGTCTTGTACGAGGCAAGTATTTCTATTAAATTTTTCTGATAATAATATGTTTGTGAATAATATAAATAAAAAAGAATCCGAAAACTGCAGAAATTAAAGTAACTTAATTATTAGATGCCTTTAACAAATATTTATATTTTAATCACTGGAAATCTATATTTGATTATAATTTATGTACTAGCGCGTTATTAATCAAATAAACATTACTTTATTAATTATGTAAAGTAAAGCGTTAAACATAAATTTGAAAAACATTCAACGTAAAAATTTCTTCCCTTTGAGGGATTTTATACAAAATTAAACGTTAGATAACGTGCTTTTTTCTCTGCAGATCGTGTTCGTATCCAGGAGGGCAATTGATTTTGTTGCATCTAAATCCGCCTCTGACGTTTTGACAAATTTCATCTTGTTTTTTACAAACGACGCCGGTAGCACATTCATCAATATCTAAAACGTGAAATAAAAATACGTAAATATAAGGTTTTTCTTTTTCTTTTCTTCTTTTCTTCTCTTTTTCTTTTTTTTCAACAATCGACCGAATTATATTAGATAGGATTAAATACTCGAACAAAATATGTATTAAGGAGTCATGTATTACAAGGTTGATTAAAATATAAGCTCCAATTCAGGTCAAGGGTTAATGAACAGCGCAACATTTAATCGCAATTTTTTGCTACTCAAGAAGCAGTAAATCAGTCTATTATCATTTCCAATGAAATAATAAATAACCGTATATTCGTTATTAAATTAATCAGAAAATTTTATATCCATTTTTCATCTTTTTTGCCTATCATTTTAAATGAAAGTTAATAGTTTTTAAATCGAATTAACTTGTTTTAACAATAAATAAATCGAATAAAACAAAAATCTCATTGTTATTTACAAATGTTATTTCTTAATCGATTCAAAATTTATAAACTTAAATATTAAGTTATTGAATTTTGTTTTTTCACTGTAATAAATTCAGAGTGATAATCGCATTACACGAAAGAACACGACATACTTTTTTATTTTGCGCATTTACTTTTACATCAAATATTTAAAATAAATAAATTAAATGACGGAAGTAATTGTAGAATGTAACTATAAATTCTTAAAATTATTTTGGTTCATAGTAAAAATAAATTTATATATTTCATTTACACATTATCTATACATTAGTATTTGGATATTTTTCGTTGTATTATTAATAAAAAGAAATTGTTAAAAATCTATCGTTAAGTAATAATTGTACTTGTTTTTAATGATGTTTTAAGTTAAACGAATATTAAACCAAAGCTAATTGTACTGAAATACTAATAAGACGCTAATAACAGAAATTCTAATAATATTGTCAGCATTAAAATTAATAATAATAATATCTAAGCAATCGATGTTAAAAGTCTTTAAATTACCTCCTTCCCAGAGTCGTTAATATTACCTAACTCAATAGTATCGTTAAATCTTTCTTATTATATTCATTTATTTTCAAGATTTTATAAGCTTCCTTTTTTCATGGAATTCAGGAAATAAAATATTAAGTGAACCAAAAAAAAAATAAAGAATGTTAAGCATTATTAATTAGATGTATTAAAGAGGTTTAAATAAATTATAAATGTTAGATTAATAGGTATGAGGAAACTTGAATTTTGCATATGAAATGTTATCATATGAATCGACCAAACATCGATTAACATTAACATAATTTTATTATAAAATTAACGCACTGTATTCAGCGCACCTGTAGGGATGATCTTTCAGTTATAAAATGAATGACGAATCCGTGAACTCAATTATCAACAAAATCAGTGAAAGGAAAACAAAGCCATTACAAAAATGAAAATTGAAAAACATAAGGAATGTGCTTAGGCTACGATCAGCTGTCACCTGTATGTATCTACCTTGGCAAGTGCGACCGTCATCGGTGAGTCTGTAGCCGTCGGGACAACGACACACATAGCTTCCGGGTGTGTTGTCACAAATACCTACACAGAGGCTGGTGTTCTTGAATTCACTGCACTCATCAATGTCCTCACAAGTACGATTGTCAGGCCTGAGCTGGTAACCGGGTCCGCAACCGCAACTGTAACTGCCCCAAGTGTTGTAACACTCCTGCTGACAAGGCCCAGGTTCAGCCGCACACTCGTCCACATCCCGACATCCGCCACTCTGGTGCTCCTCCTCGAAGCCAAAATCGCACTCGCAGCGGTACGAGCCCAAGGTATTAACGCAGTGACCTCCTTCATCGCAGAGACGCCGCGGTAATGACCTCTCGCACTCATCCAGATCAATGCAGTTATGACTTCCTCCAACTTCGTAGCCTATGGTGTATTCATAAATCTCACCGATGTCGGGAATATATATTTATATTGTCTATTATTTAACATTAAGCCATTGTGTAAGGCATTTAACTTTTATGCTATGTTATATGAACTTAATCAAGGAAATCATTTACCACTTCTCTTTCTATTTTAGCTACAAATGTTCTTTTACCTGCTGGGCAATAACAAATATATCCTCCCTGTCTATTTTCACATGTCTGCTCAGGACCACATTTGTGTAAGCCTTGAACACATTCATTGATATCCTTACATTGCGACGTGATGGGATCAGCAGCATAACCGATGCCGCAAATTTTTCGGATTTCGCATCTACATAGTCAGCCAATTATAAATTTATATCGGTATTAGTTCATATATTAATAAATATGAAAATTATTTTTGGCAGTTATATAAACTTCTAAGATTTGAAAATCTTTGTTAAAAAAGTAAAAGAAAATTTCTTTATTATTCATAATATCTAGATTACTCGTATAAAAAACTAATGATTTTTTTTTAAACTGTTAGCATTTATACACTATATAAAGATTTTCATATTTTAATTCTGGCTGAACGCTGTTAGTGGATATTATTGAATTAAATACTTTTAATTCCAGATACGTTGTACCGCCTGTAAAATAATTTGATTGCAATGATTTTATTAAAATATAATCAAATTTTCTTTTAAATGTATTTTTTTAATACCATCAGTAAATAATATTTCTAATAAAGCCTTATATGCAGTAAAGAACTTAAATTGAGGAAGAATTTAATCAAATTAAAATTGTTTTCATTTATTGTATTATAAAGAAAAAGCTTCTTATAATCTTAGCTGTTTTTAAAAATATATATTTTGAATAAAAGATAGATTCGTATAATAAACCTGTAAGAACCGATTGTATTTATACAACGTTGACGTCCACAAATATTGACATTTTTATGACATTCATCAATATCGATGCATTGCCCAAAAGGATCGTTTTCAAAACCACGTAAACACTTTATTTTTAATCTACAAGTAAAAATACGATTTATAGTTGAAATTGGTATATTAATAATTCAATATATTAAATGGCAATAAATTCAACTTTAATATTTTTAGTATTTATATCTATTTAAAATTCTTACCGAAGAGGAATAATAGACTTTATGGTATAAGGAGTAGTTCTTAAAGTACCCACAGTTGGTATGTCTTCGGTAGTAGTTGTAGTTGTAATGATTATCTTTTTTGGCTTATGCGTAAATATATTTTTATAAGTAGTCGTTGTTATTGCATCATTAGATGTAAGTACAGTTGGCATAGAAGTTGCAGTTGTAGGCGTTGTAGTACTTGAAATTGTTGTGTTGTGTTGGTGTGTTGTACTTACAGTTGTCATCGGCCTTGCTGTAGTTGTAGTTGTAACAATAGCTCTTTGTATGCTCAAAGTTCTAGGTTTTGATGAAGTCATGATGGTAGTTGTACTCGCATTAGTATTTATTATACTAAACAAGAATATTAGTTTTAAAATAATTTATTAAGAATAACATTCGTTTTAAAATAAGAATAATATTCGTTATATGTCCTACGCCTTCGATGCTGCTATTACATAACACTTGATTTAAAAAAAGGAAATAAATAAACTAAAATAGAATAGAAAATTTGCATATTCATGTTTATAAAACTGATCGCGCAGTAATTGATAGAAATTATTAACGATATATTTTCATGCCAATGAAAATCAAATTACCGAGGTGTACTGTAGATTGCTGCAGAGGTCGGTCTAACAGTCGGCCTACGACTCCTTTTAATAGTTGGCCTCTGAGTACTCGTTGTCCTGATCCTGTTCCTATCGCACCTATAACTGCCGTGGGTGTTGCGACAACTATAACCTGAACCACAGTCATGAGTACCAAGACTGCACTCGTCGTCATCTTCACAGATCTCCGTGGCGGCATTAAGTGTGTAGCCGGTACCGCAAGGCAAGAACCGAACGCAAGTGTAACTACCAATTGTATTATCGCAACGCTGCGAGGACAAACAGTCGTTCTCCAACTGGCACTCATTCACATCAACACACGCCTGCGTCAATTCATCCCTGCGGAAGCCCAGGATACAAACGCAATGGAAACTCCCGGGCGTATTTCTACACTCCTCGTTGCTACTGCACGCATCGTCGATTTCTTCGCACTCGTTCACGTCTACACATCCACCTCGGATCACATCGTACCTGTATATATATATATATATATATATATATATGTTTTTTTTAATTTTTGGACAAATGCAATAACTGATTGAACTTATTAAAAACATTCAAATTTATATTATTTTTTTTTAATTTTTTAATATTAATACTATTATTATTGTACATACCTAGTTCCGATATCACAATTATCATCTCGAATAGATCCAATAGCGGCTGTCGATGAAAAACCTGGCTTTCTTCTTATAATGGGAAGTGGAGCTTTAGCACATTGAAAACTACCCGGTAAATTGTAACATTTTTGTTTGCCACAATTGTGAGTCCCATCGGCGCACTCATCTATATCTGTCGTTGAGAAAGATAATTTGTAAATGAATAATTTAACCACCAGAGGAATAAATTCAGTAATTATTTAATGGTTTAAACAGCATTATTATGCATGCAATTATAATAGCAAGATATTAATAAAATTTTGTAAAATAATTGTATTAAATGAAAAGTTTATCACGATATTATATGAAAGCTTTGGCAAAGAAAAAAGAAAGCGCATGAAAACGGTAAGATGTGTCATACAATAAAGCCTTTTTTCAGAACATGAATCCTAAAAGAAAAATGAGTAGTGAAATCTGAAAACTAAAAAATTAATGTTAAAAATATTTTTAATACCTTTAGAAGAAGAGTTCTTCTTAATAAGATGCTACGATAAAAAGATTATAATTATAAATGTAAAAAAGTTAAAAAGATGAATACTTCACGACAAAAAGTTGAACAGACTTATTATTTCTAAAAACATATTCATTTTTCATTAAATATATAGCAAAAGTTACATAAAAGATTAACCATTTGTTGCAAAGAAAAAAAAATAATTAAGACACATATAATCAATTTTATTTATTAATAACCAAATAAGTAGTTCTATCTTATTTTTGGTGGCTGCAAAAGTAAAATTAATGAATGAACCTTAATAAAATTCAATTAAGTCTAACTATACATTATAGGAATCATATTATTTTATAAAATAAATTCTATACAATAATTTTAATCATAATATTTTATTAAAAATTTGCATCAGCACAAATTTCTTAACAATCATATTGTACAAAAAAAGATAAAAAAATTTTTCGTTATTCTAATGTACGTACGAATTTTACAACTTTTGAAAAGTCGTTATTTTATTTCAAGAGTATGAATTTTTAAGATTCAAAGAATTAAGTTTGTTTTATTAAATAATTTATAAAATACAATTAATATATACCTATTCCAGTGAACTGTAATAAAATATTGGTCGAATCATTTCATAATTTAAAATTTCTGACAATCTTAAGTCCAAACATTAGTTTGATCGCAGTTTTATTTTCCCTTTAAATAATAAATATTCCGTATATAAAAACAATCAATATAATATATTTTTTTAAATAAATCGAAGTTCTCGGTACAGAACAATAAATAATATGTAATGGAATGCAGAATTGCCAAATGTTGACTATAAAATTTATATTATTCCAACTATTGTATATTATGAAATAATTGGTCTACATCAATTATATATAATTATAATATGCCCGTAGCCGTCAATTTCAATAAAAATAAAAATTTTTACATATTTTTTAAGAGCAATTAATAGATATTTAACGATTATGTATATTTACATGTTCCAATATGTACATGTTCCATTTGCAATTTCGCATTGATTGTAGACATATATGTATCTTTCGAGGCGCACTGCAATCATAACTTATAAAACTTAACTTGCAAGGAATATTATACTTAACATTTATACGAAGTCTTGAGTATTTCCGGCTACTAATGTCATATATGCAACGTATGCGTACATATAATATTTAAATAATAAATACTTATAAACTTAAATAATAAAAACAAACAAAATGGCGTAATTCAATTTAAAAATGTTATAACGAATGTATTGGGTAAAATTTAAAAAAAAAGTACATATTTTAAAAGTGCAAAATTTTAAATACATTTGGTTTCACAGATAAAATTTATGAATGGTATATTTTTAAGTACGGATTTTAGTAACTCGACAACTCGGGTTTGAATAAAATGGATATTTTGTAAGCTGCGAGTTCAATAAAAGGCACTTCATCAAACCTAGTAACATTAAAAAAATCTTCCTATATAAGATTCAAATATTCGAGAATCTACTATTGATTGTGGCGATGAAGATATTTCTATTAATTTACTTTTCTTCTGCGATCTATAAATATAAGACATTAGCCACTTTCGAGAATGAAATTGTCCGCGCGGATGTTATTCAAAACATTCGAAATTGCAGTAGCCTCACAAAAATTAACAACGTCTGGGGCTCCAAAGATGGGCGCTTTCGAGAAATATGTATTTATAAATATCCAATCGCGAACGCGTGTTGCGTTTCATCTAGTTCACGTATACATTAAGGCGAGCGAATATCCGAACGCACGTCTGATCTGCGAAATGATGATAAGTATTAATCAGTTGTGGAACGACTGTTATAGTTTTAGTGCCAACATTCACAAACTTTTGAAAGAAAATTCTTACTTTTTTTTAATGTAGACCGTTGAGCTACGTAAATAATCTCGGACCAAACTTACTCCTTACATTACCTCAACCTAGTTTCGCGCTACCCAAAAGTTTATGTTCTACATTAAATATCTTGTAAATCATCGATCAGTTTATATCAACTTTGTAAAATACCAATTTTTATAAATATCGAAATTGAGGTAGACAAAAAAATTCAAGTATTTCGGTTGTTCATAAAAAAAATCGTTAAATGTATGCATAAAGCCACTAATAAGTAATTTTGTAGCGCTCAAATTTTTAATATAAGTGTCGCTTTTTGAAAGAAAAAAAAAGAAGCAAATTTCTTTTCTGACTCCGGAAATTATTTAAAACTGTAAAAATAATCGTTCGAAGTTGCTTTTTCAAAGTTGAAGGAGTGTTGGGAGTCAAATGTCGACTAAGCAAGGCTATGTTCCGAATAATAACGATAAAATTATACTTAATAGGATATAAAATTTAATTTCGTAGTTACTGAACTCCCGTGGCAAAGCTGTTCTGTCCTTACAATAACATCTCGATAACAGAACACAATCAAAAATAGCAGGCCAATTATAATTTGGAATTTAGAACATCGCAATCATGTCAAACAGCATCCTGTCAACGCTCAAACAGCCAGTCGGAAGCATTGATACTTGGGGGGATTTTATTCCGAGTAATGGAAAATCAACGTGTGCGCTTTCAGCAAAGGTACAGGCGATGATATTCCGATGGAAATTCAAAACTGGGATGCCAGATCGAGCTTCCATTAAAGGGCAGGGAGATGAGAGACTTGATAGATGTTTCTCTACGACGGGCGGCAGCGAAACTAGTCCGCGGCTCCCTTACCGGAGCACTTCCTCTGGGCGACGTCGTAGGTATGGCCCGACGGGCACGCGGGCCTCTGTCTGTGTGCTCTGAGTCCGGGCTGGGGCCGCTCGCACCTGTAGCTACCCGGCAGGTTGACGCAGCGCTCGTTGAGTCGGACCTCGCAGCTTGCCCTGCCGCTCCTGCATTCGTCCACGTCCTCACACTGGCGCGTGAACAGCGAGTATTCGAAGCCCCGGGAGCAGGAGGGCAACCGAGTTATGCATTCGTAACCGCCTTCGCGATTCACGCAGTAGCGATGGGAGTCGCGCGAGCACGTGTGCACACCCTCGAGGCACTCGTCCACGTCAGCGCAGCTGCCATTCTGGTCGCGGCGGTAGCCATTTGGACAGGCGCTGAGAGTCTCGCAGGCGTACGAACCGTTGGTGTTGCGGCAATACTGCGTGCGCTATCCTCCGAACACACAAAATTACCTTGCAATTTTAATCAATCTATCTATCTAGTTTTATTGATTTCCACGACCCACCTACATTTTAAAATATTACACAGTTTGAAAATAGAAAAGGATGAAATACCTGTCGACAATTGTGGTGACCCAAAAGACACTCGTCAACGTCCTGACACGTCTTCGTTTGAAGCTGAAAATACCAACCAGGACCACAAAGTGGCGAACAGTCATAACTGCCATGTAAATTTCGACACCTTTCATGGTCCCTGCATCCTGGACCCTCGACACATTCATCTATGTCAACGCAACTGCCAGACACTTTATCCGCCTTTAATCAAATAAAAAAATTATTCCGAAAATACGAACTTCAAACTTTCAACCTAGAAGAAGTTCGACAAAGCACGAGTAAATGCACAAACAAACACTATCGACGCTTAGGAAGTTTTTTGAAAAAGATTTAAAATTTCATCAAAGGTATTACTCAATATATCATTGATTAAGAGCGTCTATTAATTACTCTTTACTTTACTATGTAGTACATGAAAAATAATTATATTGAAAATAAAAGCATTGTATTTAGTAGGGTAGGTTATTACTTTAACAATTTATAAAATTTATCATATAGCAAAACATTCATCGAATATTTTAATCGTTGAAATTTAATATATAATGTAGAAAAAGTTTATAATTAAGAAATTAATTTATTTCGTACTGTTATTATAACTATAATTTGATAAATTTATGAAATTCACTTTTAATGCACATATAAATAATATGCGTACATTAAATTTGTTCAAAATTTATTTATTATCATAACTTAATAAATAAATATATGTAATAGCGATAATTTTCTCAATAAGTTTGTTAATAGACATTTTCGACTATGTAATAGTTCTAAGCATGTTAGACTGAACTAAGCATATCACCACGAATTTAAAATTAAATTATAAGACTCAAAATACGACATTACTTAAATTCTACAGTCTTCATAATTGATTCCCAAGATTTATAAATTAAAAAAATTATATGCATAATGTACGAGTATCTGATGAGCATACGCCTGTTCGAATGTGTATGTAAAATGTGTGTAGTAAAAGTCGAAGTTGGTAAGTGAAAGCGCGTGTATGGCTTTTTAATACCTTATATCCCTTGCGGCAGAGGAGATTGGGTGACTCGATTATTGGTGTTCTGGGCTTCGACCTTGGCTGCTCGCAGGTGAACGAGCCATTGGTATTCTGGCAGCGTTCATGGGTGCTACAAGAATGTAGTCCAATTTCGCATTCGTCTACGTCCTGGCAAGCATCACCCGCAGGTATAAAGCCCCGGGGACAGCCGCCTGGGATACAATCATAACCACCGGCGGTGTTCCGGCATATTTCACCCGAAGCGCAAGGCTGCACGCGCACTTGACATTCGTTGATATCTACGGACAACAAAACTTATGCATCGGCTTTTTACACTAATAACTATTTTATTGAGCTTCAATCATTTAATCCACTATTGACAGTAATTTTCATAGACAATTAGTGAATTGTAACCAGCTTGAGAATTATTAAATTGTAATGTGAAATTAAATTATATTCCTTAAATTGCGTGAAATTCTTATATTTGCCTATCTAAACCATAAAGCACAATTTCATTCTTTTCAATTAACAGCTTAAAATAACAGAAATTCTCGGCGAAATTTTAAATTTCGTATACCTCTCCCTTCATCAAAACCATCGTAATCACTCGATTGTCTATCATCTGATCCATTCCCAATATTGTTCGGTTCTTTATTATGCTCATACTCCTTTAAGCTCCTGCATTCAAAACTTCCAAGACTGTTGACACAAATTGTGTGAGGTTGTAGACAAACGTTCGTCAAGTCGGTGCACTCGTTGATATCTAGAAGCCACGAAAATTTTCGAGATTTATATAAAGAAATTAAGACTTGACATTAGAAAATTTAAAACAATCTATTTATATACATTCAACTGCAATGCATCAGCATATATAATATAATTATAAATTGTCACCAAAAAATTGTATAATGCGTAGCAATGTAATTGTTAATAGTTCATATAAAACAATATTGCTATTTATTTTGAAAATTGATTTAATAATTAAAAGTTACTAAATATTATATCTAAATGCATGTAGATAGCCAACAACAATTAAAAAATATAAATAAAATTGGAATTATACATGAATCTTGAACAATAAAATCTAGGTATATCTAGTTCATAAAAAATTTTGATAAAGATTTTCCATTTACATAAATTTAGATATATGAGCCTGTTTATAAAACTAGTCCATTCATAAAGAATAATGGATAATATATTTCAACTACGGAAATAATGTCATGTAATTTCAAAACTATATAAAAAATATGATGTAAAATAAAGATAATCCAATATTAAAAAAAAATATGGAAATTAAAAATTTTTCTAACTAATGACAAACTTTAAAGTTTTAAATATTTATTAATTCATTCATCAGCACTTTAAATATAAATTTATTACTGCACCGAAGATATTTATAAGAGAGAAATTTTCATAAAAATATTAACATAAGATATATATAAATAAGATGATTATAGATACTACAGAACATTTTGCATGTTTAAAATGTAAAAGAAATATGAATTTCAGTTCTTAGTTTGTATAATACACAAATGCTTATAAAGTTACAATAATCTCTAAATGATAAATTTTACTAATTTATATGTTGGTATTACAATTTGGTAAACATTTTTTATTCAACGTCATAATTTTACGATCATTTATTGGGGCTGAGCACTATTTATTGCAAATAATAAATTATATATATTGAAAAGGTAGTGAAGAATATTTTATTTTGAAATTTTTAAATATAATTCATTATTCATATATATCGATCTTAAAACTATATCTAATTTAAAATTTAACAGTACTATAATAAACTTTTTTAATTAGATTAATGTTATAACCTTGAATAAAATCTATTTATCTGATAAATTCATTGTTGTTTTGACATCTTCTATTATCATAAATGTTTGCATAAACATTCATTAAAGATTAATCATATGCATAATATTTCAAGAAATTAACATAAAATAGCATTGCAAAATTTTCAATTGTTGGAAAGAAAAATTTGGAAGTTATCTGTTAACTATAAAAATTTCTAATAACTATTAATGACTTATTATTAATAATTATTCTTAATATGTTTAATGCATACTTATAGTGACTAACAAGCATTTATATAAATAATATTTTTGGTGGACAATTTAAAAATCAATGTGTGAATTTAAAAGTTTTAAAAAATAAGTTTAAAAACACTTATTAAAATATAATTTTAATTTCATAATCTACGTGCAGTATATTGTGTATAATATATTGAAAACAAGCGATTGATTATTCTATAATTGAATAATATATAATAAGATTTAAAAAATTTAAAATACAATTAGATCCATTTTATTTAATAATCTTATTTATAAAATAATTATTCTTAAATTTTTATATATAAAGAAATATAAAACAATGAAAAATATCACAAATAATTAAATGTAAATAAAAAGTTATTGTCAATTAGTGATTATAAATAATTTATAAATAGTAAAAATAATTTAATTTTATAGAATAAAGATAATAAAAAAAATAAATAAATAAAAAAATTTATAATTTAAAATAAATCTACAAGTTACTATATATACATGTGACATCAATATGTTTATTACATTATTAGAAACGAACACTGAAAGAATGATTTCAATAATTATTTTATTTCTTAAATATTTTTAGGCCAAACACTTTTTAATGTTTTTAAAGTTAAAGTATAAGTAACAAAATGTGACTTCTAAAGTATTTTAATTTTATCACGTGTACACAAATATGTATTACACATATCTATAGATACGTTTACTATTTTCTCGAAAAGTAATATTCTTTTCATCTAATAATTATGATATTAATGAAAATATTTATATTAAGAAAAGATAACATGCCAAATTTAAAAATGTATTTAAATTAATATTCTATTTTGCAGTAGTTTTTTTCGTACGTTGTTTATAAAATCTGAGTGAAACATTGAAAGAAAAAACAAATTTCTTACCCAAACAAGCTCCGTAATTACCATTAAAAATAAATCCATTTTTGCATTTCACTTCGCACTCATACGACCCATCTAAATTTCTGCAATTTTCTGCGTCCATTAGACATTTATGAATATTTTCCAAGCACTCGTTCACATCTTAACATACAATAAAACTTTAGAATAAGTATTATGAAATAAAATTGTGTAATTTATTCATTATGAAATAAATAAAAAATAACAAATATTCGCATTATTCGCGTTCTTATTAATTAAAGGGGGTAAAAAAATTTTATTAATATATTACTTTCATATTTAATAGTAATAGATAGATACCACTTCAAAATTCCTTAAAATTTATCTTTAATTTACAAAACTGTAATAATATTAATCTACGTTTCCTAAATTATAAAGATTTAAAGGTAATTTAGTTTGTAGTTAGTTTATAATGAATTAGTTTATAGTTTTGGTTTATATACCATTTACTTTATTTACAATATCGATAAATTCATTTATACCAATTACAATTTTTTTTCATTATTATCCCATAAATAAAAGAAAATAAAAAAAAAAACAAAAATTAATGATATAAACAGTAAATAATAAGACTTAAGGGTCTTACCGACGCAGCGTTCTTGGGTGGAGTTCCAACGGTAACCAAATTCGCATTGTTCAACGGCACCACTCCTCGATTCAGGCCCAAGGCATCGATAGGTACCATTAATATTTTGACAGCCACTTCCTGGTGGACAGACAGGAATCGGCAACTCGTTGCACTCGTCGATGTCTGCTTTCACGCCGGAAAAGCGAATCGAGCGCCAAGGAAGCAACAAGAAAGCAGCGTGTGTAAAGCGCGCGGATGATTTAAAATCGAGCAAGTACGAAAGCGTTTTTACTATGCCGAGTACAAAGCTAGGAGGATAGAGCATGGATCTAATATAAGCGGAAGTAGCCCTTGCAAGTTCTTTTCCTTCAATGACAGCATTACTATAATTGCTTTACATTCATTGATTACGTAAGTTATCTATTATTAAAATTCAAGCTGCTTGATGATAATGGACATAAGTGAAAATCTGATGTATCAATTATTTTCATTCTCAGAGAAAGAGGAAAGAACGTCATTTTACAATAGTGAGCATATACTTGTTAACAATTACATATTTACCATCTTACATGACAATGATGAAATATGAATAATGATGTTATAATTGAAATGATGTATAAGGAATCAATGATATATCAGGTTATTCTCTGAGAACTGTCAAATAATAATGATATTTTGTTGATAGGAATGTAACACAATGATTATTTTGCGTGAACATTATAAAATTATGCTTTTACTAGAAGAAGAAAAAAGTAAACTTGTAATCTTTAATTACCATCGCATGTTTCAGTACTAAGAGTGAAGCGATATCCAGTTGGACACGGCAAATTGAGTTCGTTGTCTTCTATTGGTAAGGATCTCGTCGTTCGCAATTTCGCATCAATTGCGAATATTTTAAACGCATCTGCGGAAGGTATGGCCCACTTTGATTTTATTTCAGTTGCAAATGTCGAGAGTTTAGACGGGAACAAAGATGCTCGCGCTATTGATGTGTTCAAAGACAACTCGATGCTTTTAATTGAACTTGAAACATTTGAAAAGGTTGACTTCATAGATGTTAACATGTCCGATGAAGCCGTTAAATTCAATGGTAATGTCGAATCAAAAATCAAAGGTTTCGGTGTGGTAGACGAAAAATTCCTATGGAAAAACGAAGTTGAAGTTATTGATAAGACGGACGGGTTGTTCACGATTGTTGTGTTTTGCTCTTCATCCATTGTGTTATTTAATTTACATGATCTTCCATCTTCTTCTAATATAAAGCCCTTGTAACACTGGCAGTAGTAGGATCCAGGTATACGTACACAGATTTGAGAACATGGCATACCGCTCAATAATAGACATTCATTATCTATTGTTATTGAAATAATAGAGAAAAAAAATAATTAATGTATAAATATATCCATAGTTAACTAATAATTACCAAGAGTTGTTTATGTCTATGTAGACACTGTTAAAAATATAAATGACACTTATATTTAATCGAAATGTGAATATGAAACAAATGCTTTTACTGACATATTTATATTTATGATTTTTTAATTTTATTTTATAATAAACTAAATGGATCAAAACAATTGTTCTTGTCTTTCATATTTTCATTTTCATTCAAAATAATATGCGAGACAATATGTTTAAAAAATATTGACCTTTTATGATTCCTATAAATATTATTTTTAATGAAAAGTAGTTTAATCAAACAATACGTCAGTTCATACATTTAAATGATATAATTTCTATAAATTGTTTGATCTGTATATGCAAATGGTATAAATTTTATCTACAAAAATGTCTAGAATGTCATGAGAACACTTCGCTGCTGCTACACCTACGCAACCAATAACTTATGAATATAAAAGTAATTACCTGATTTGAAATATATTGATGATACTAAGTCAACCTTTTTATCTATGCCATTATCTATATCTTCACTTTTTAACGTAGCTTCCATAAAATCTCTCGTTGCTGGCGATCTATCTGTAATTATTGTTGCATTGGAACTGCTTCGAGTAGTAGTGGATATTGCTTCATTGCAGCATTTGATAAATATCCACTCCCACAGTACGTCCCGGCTAAATTTCTTAGGTGCACAGTCCTTGCCACTTGAACCAGTTAAGATACCTTGCGAAGATTTTTTAACTTTTTATTGAGATTTACTTCTCAATGAAATTTGTATAATGAAATAAATGTTGCATATTATTAACTAATTGAAACGAATAAATGTCTTATCGAAATATCTATTTAGTATATTTATTCACGTAAATTATTGCCGAATCACCTGATCATGTAAATCGATATTTCAGTAAGAAGCTTGAAATTAAATTATAAAAATTTAAATTGTTTCAAGTTTCCAAGATATACTGCACTAATTTTCATGATATAAGACAATGCAAGACTATTTTAATTAAACAAATCTGTAAGATTGGTAAGCGATTCTCTATATTTTATTTACAAAAGTAAAAAAATACATCTTTTAAAAATATTTTAACTTAAAGAAACATGAATTGTACATACGTGTATTGAAAAACGAATGATTTCATCAAAAACTTTGAATCAGACTACCATTAAAACATTGTGAATATCATGTTTATATATATACGCTTAATAATTACAAAACATATTACTGCAATGATAGATATTTTAGCTTAAACGCATTCTGTAAAATAAATGGAGACAGAAAAGAAGAAAATCATAAAGTAAAAAATGTAAATCACCGAGTTTGCATCCCTCGCAGCAGTTGCGACGATACTCGTCCGGATTATCGGGCGACTCACAAGCAGCACCAGTCCTGGCATCGATTCTACCTCTGATACAGGCCTCCTCCTGATAAGCTTTCCTACAACAAGTTTCAACGGACTCGAGGCAGGCGGGTTGTTCACCGAGTTCTAAGTCGAGCACTGGACCCACAAAATCCTTGCACGACATCCTTTGCTCAGCCCACGAGCCGCCGAGGTCACAACACATCTTTAAGTAATCATTTGGTAGCACAAAGCCCACAGCATCTGCCCAAACAACATGCACATTAAAGTACTTTCTTATTATTTGGATCGCAGCCTCAAGAAATTCACGAGGCCGGTTAATAATGAAATCTTCTCTAAATTTGAAGACAACAGTATAACGGCCTTCTAACAAGACTTCGTTACAAAAAGTCTAATTAGACTTCTATTTCGGAGTTACAGACTAAGCGATGTTACAATAGAAAGACTATACGCATCTAGAAATATAATTTAAAATTTTCAATTCAGCGAAGAATACTTAAAACCGAAGATACTCGAAAAACCGACGATTTCCTATGCAGTGACTCTGCGTGAGCACGGGAGGCTGACAAAAATTATCCAAAGCTATGTCTATAAAAATCACGTACCTACCCGTCACTCGTAAACCTACATTTACGAGTGTAGTTACCATATTGACGTGTAACTTTCCCAAAGGGTGTAAAACGGGCCCTGGATGCATTGTAAGGAGAAATAATTTTAAATAGTATCGGTTCAAGTAACAGGATGCGAGATCAGACCAATGTTCGAGATCAAGCAATGCATAAAAAATTATTTATCCATGCGAGTGCTCCTGTAAATCCTCGCAACTTGTTACATCTGACAGCTTCTCGACAGTCCCTTATCAGCATACAAAATCGTCAAGCAGCTTTCGTACAGCATGCATCAAGTATCCGTTAAGTTATATTTCATAGCTTGAATATTAATTTAAAATTTATAATGGAGCTCATGAGAGATCACGGTCTCGAATTGCAATTATTTCTACAACTTTATGCTTTTATCACAGTTTTTTTTCCTAACTTTTCTCTATTCTTCTCTTCATTCCTTCTTTCTGTTTATTATATCTATTTTTGCTTTATTCATTTTAAAACTTATTAAACGCTAAACGACTAAACTCTTCTTACCTGACGGACTCTCATCTTACTCTATATATTATTTGCATGAAACTAACTCAGATTTGAAATATAGTTAAACAATACACATTATGTATTAATATTATTGCCTTATCTCAAACTAATAATAATAATCTACTCGTAATTCATTCGAAAAATTGTGAGGAAAAAAATTAATATTCAAATAAGGCACTCAATTATTCATTAAATACAATATTCTTTATAATCCAAGACAATTTCTCGTTCTTACAATTATTTTAATTTTTTTTTTTTTTTTATTAATTTTAATTTTAAATTAAGACTCACTAAAATATTTACTTAAAACTTGATACGATAGGTCGTTCAATTAGATGGACCCAGACTACTCACGTGAGAACTAAAACTTACGTTAAGAAAACGAAAACACTTTTTAAATTGAAGGCAATTACAATTAATAACAAGCATCATAAGATAAAGTACTCCGAATCTTAATTAACGCACCATTAGCAAATGGGAAAGTTATTAGACTGAATAAAAACATTGGTATAGATATACTTGGTGACAATAATTATTTTATTTATGAATTTTCACTCACTGATATTCAGATTTGCTAAATTTCCTGATATTAAATCGTATTAAAACATATTTTATTTGTATAATTATTGTTGAATTTATTATTTTAGATATTAAATCGTGCTCTGTTTTTTAAAAATATACTTAACTTCAGTTATCGTTAAGATTTCAAAAGAAATATTAAATATCAGAGCAAGATATTAAGAGTGGAAAAACATAAATAAATATCAAGTTAAAGAGTTACATGTAGCATCAGCGTTTTTCAAGTATCAAACGGAAAATAAATAACATTTCTATCATCAGTAAGAAAACATTCGTTGTTTATCGAATAAATGATATTTTAAATAAACGCAAAGACCTTTACTGTAAGCAATTGACATTAAAAGCACGAGAGCATCATTTGTATTTTCAATTCCACTATAAAGCGCTCTTTCTTTAAAAAGCCTGCATTTCATATTTTATTTGACGATATTCAATTTTAATTGAAATTGCTTCCTTTGAATTTGCACTTATCATTTTTTATGTGAGTATGAATCAATCATTTCCCTAGATTTATACATAGAATAAGTTTCTTGATAAAAATCGTGTCAAACGCGAAAATACATTGTTCTAAAGTCGCTGTGTGAATAATAGTGATCGTTAGACTCGCAATAAAATCTAAATTTAAGTTTGAGAGCTATGCCTATGTATTCAATTTTATCATGAATGATATTCGATTGTAAACAGGATTTTTCTAGTTAAAGCCAAACTTGTCGAAATTCGGGGGAGGACAGTGCAACAGTGAGACGAAGCACTGACCATAAGTAAGCGAGTCGACACCATAAGTAAAAAAAAAATATACGCAGAATTAGAGCGGATCGGAATATAAAGAAATGGAGGAGGAAAAAAATCTTCCCACGAGATGCAGCTGCGGAAGTCATAAAATTGGTAGTCGCCCATTATAACAAGAGTATCGAAAATAGTTGCCTTGGAGAAGCAGGAGCATCGTAAGCAGGATTATTGACGCCATCGTCCTTCGTTCCTTCCTTCCCTCCCTCCTTCCTTCCTTCCTTCCCGCCGTGCTTAATCCCACACTCGTTTCAAAAGTCGTCGTCGCAGTTGTCGGTTAAGCCTTGGAAAGCCGCATCGGAGAGTGTCGTATGGCACTCGCGTCGTCGTGTGTTCACGGAGCAATGAAACGCAGCCCACTGCCGCCGGCCGGAGACTGACGGCGCCGTCGAAATCCTCCTACGGGGGAAGCCGCCGACGGTGACGAGCACGACGTTGAGGGGACGGATCCTCTTTCGTCATCCAACAAATGCGACGTTAGCCTCTTCTTACTTTTTTATCCCTCTCTCCCTCCCGTCATTCACTCTTGCTCGCTCTCTCCTGTACACTTTCTTTCTCTCTCACTCTCACTCATGAGTTTCCATCTCAGTCACGTGCAGTTGATCGGTCTTTTCTACTCATTTCTTCTCAAAATCACACTATCTTTTTCAGTCGCGTACGTCGATTAAGCCGCCTTTTATCTCTTGATTTTACATAGTGAAATGTTCCCTCTAATATTTATAGATGAGGAAACATCATCTTGTTCCCATTCATAGATGTCCTGTAGTCAGTCAATATCGCTCATCATTTAGCAGGATGTTCGATTTTATACTTTAGTATTTATTTACTCTCTTTTTTTACTCTCGAGATTTTTTACTCTCAGTTTGCTTATCTTATTTGGAAACTAGAAGAATTAGAAATTTATAAGATATAATCTTATAAATTAGGCCCAGCATTACATGATTCAATCATAGGTATATAATATTAATTCCATTTTTATCTCATTCCACCCAAACCTCCGAATCAATTGTAATTTCAAACATTTTAAATTACTTGTCTTTTGTGTTTTATTGAAATGAGAAAAGAAATTTTGTTTTAATAACTATAACTGGACATTTATAGAAGTTTTATTTACCTATTAAATTTCAGTAATATGTACTTAAAATTTAGATATATAATTATAAGAACTATAATTTTTGAAACTTCGGTATTGTATTAAATATGATCGGTTGCGTTACTTTACGTGTGTCTTTTGAATTTTTCATTCTTTAATTGTTTGAATAAATAATTATAAAAATTTATCGAAGTTAAAAAAATGGTATAAAACTGTGTAAGTGAAAACGAATTTCGATAAAATTAATAAAACACTTCAATAAAAATTGTTTGTTAAAACAAAAATCATTATTCAATAAAAACAATAGTACTTACTTTTTTCCGTGTTTGATCCAATTAATGGTAATAGAGTTTGAGAAAATTTAATTGTCATACAAATAATTTGTTCTTAAAAAAAAGATTAACTTTTATGATTTTTTTATTCAAGCGAAAATATTTATGTTTTTCATTTTAAATTATCTCTCCTCCCTTCTTATTCTGTCACTCATCAGTACTCATCACTTTCTCCTTCGCACACTTATACATACACTCGCTCGCTCATTCTCTCTTTTCCAGCAACATATGTATTCCTCCTTTCTATCGTTGCTCAAAGATGAGCTTCCCCCATTTTAAAATACGAAAAAAACTTCGTACAGAAGAAAAATTTGACCTAAAAAAGCTATTGAAAATGATTAGTGTTTGTATTTTTAAAGTGTTCATGTCGATTTTTGTGTCATATACTTACTTATCAGCAATGGCTAGAAAGCCTGTAAATGATTTTTTAAAATTGTAAAAATATTATTATTAAAAGAAGGAAACTATTTCAATACTTTATCTGTATTAATATACATGGATCATTTTTTTTCAAATTTATTTATTTAATTCTAAATAATCTATTTCTTAATTGTGAATAAATATTTCTTATACATTTACAATCTTTTTGTAATACAATTTCATATTCGATATCGATTTATTATGATTTAAAAAATTTATTCATAATGAACAATAAGAAATTTTTGTTGGTAACTATATTTTAGATCCTCGTATTGAAAGAATTTTTGTTCGTAGTAATATTTAATTTAATATACGACTACAAAAAAATTGTATTTATTTTATTAGATTTTAAAAATAGATCGTCGCTAAGAGATTATTTTTATCTTCCGTTTAATAAAAGTATATTTAGTATATACGAGTTCGTATTATTCAAATGGAATAAATAAATTTCTTTTTAATTTTCAATAATGTATTACAATTATGTATTATATTTTATTCGATTTGTTTAGAAATGATACTACACAATAGAATATCAAAAAAACTACGACATTCAATTCGTCGGTTTACTACAATAAAATTGCTTATTGTATCATTTTTCAGCTTTATTAAACTATTTATAATAATATGTTAACTAGTTAAACCGCACGTGTAATAATAACAAATTATAAATTTAAATGATTTGAACTTTGAAATTCGAAATTTTTATTTTATAAGCAATCATCTTAAAAAAAGATAAATACTTACTGTGAATTATTGAAAATTTTATTTAATATATCCTATCGCTCAAATGATAATATCTACATCTGGTTTAAGTTGCAATGATTCAACAGAGTCCAATTTATTATTAGTATAGTAAATTGTACAACAGCTACGACTAAACGCAATGAAAGTATATTAATATTGCTATACTGAGATACGACCTTTTTAATTACATCAAATTGTCCATTTAATTTAATATAATTTTAAGATAATTTAATCCAACTCTAATATTCAAAAGAAAAGAATGATTATAAAAAGATATTCAAATCCATCTGAATATCTAATACTTTCTTAGACAACTGATGGCGCCATAAGAAGTAGGATAAATGACACACTTTATTTAATAAACTAGTGAAAAGATGCGCTAATAAAGTTACAGAAAAAATCTTCTTACTTTCACTAGAAAAAAGCATACATTCTAGTTAATTTAAAGCAAAAATAAAGCAGAAAATGGAAAAAATGCTTGCGCAACTCCATTACGGGGTATGCAAGCACGACTTTACCCAAATGAACTTTAAGCCTGATAGATATTATAATTGATACCATTGGTAATATACATGTGCGAACAAAGTACATACATTTTGTAGAGAATTAAAAACAATTTAAACCTTCCGCATATACGATGACTAAACGACATCGTGCTGCACGTAGCTAAGTATTCTCAAAGTGTTGAAGGTCACATCCTATTACTCGAAGAAAGAAATAAAGCTTTTCTTGTGGGCGTTTTGAAGCAACTCGTGCGTTTCTCCAATTGGCCAAGAGGGTGCAAAGGAGCAGTAGTACGTAAGTTGACATATGCGAAGAGAAAAAGCTGCGTGAACCACGTATCACGTGAAGCAAAGAAAAAAAACTTGGAAGAATATAATGCTTTCACATAATCTTCTTTACAGTATGTTTAATGTGAACAGTGATATATAACTCCATATTTATATTTGCTAACAATTATACGGATATCCATATTCGTTCATATCCATCGATCAATCCTATTCAGTTAATCGTATTATATTCAATTATGCATATATTACGTTGGTAAAAAGATCTTCACTAATACTAACGAGCAAGATGTATTAAAAAGTATTTTTAGATCTAATTTCACTGTTTCAAATACAATTACATACAATTCAAATACAATTTTAGTCACATATTCAATTGACGATTCTTCAGCAAACACTATAATTACTTATTTTTATTGCACATTAAAAAGGGAAAAATATATTTGTTAACCAAAATTTGGTGAAATCTTCAAATAATATTTAAAAAATTTAAGATTACTGTTTTAAAACACAATTTTAATAAGATAAATTCATCTATACAATATATTATTTACATGAATTATAAATGAAATAAATAAAGTATAATTTCACATAAAATTATTAATAAACTATGCAATGAAATGTATTCACTCCAATAAAATAATGTAAAAAAGATATCAAAACCTTCTTAATACCAAATTTGAAGAAACATCAACTAAATTAAATGTTTATTGCTTTTATTACAATATATATTTCAGTAAATGTTTATTTAAAATTGTACAAAAATAATAGAAAATAAAAATTCTAGACATTGAATATCGTCTATGTTTAATATTGTCATTTGTTTCACAAAATTTATTATATAAATATTTGATTACGTACAACATATTATATTAATTACAATATATTTATTATGACATACAAATTATAAACTATTAATAATACGCATATATTTCAAGATGGTTACACAGCATGTGCATAAAAATTATTTGAATAAGAATTAAAAATAAATAATTTATTTTTCTGAATATTTTAATTTATACTGATAAATTGCCGATGTAATTATTAAAATAATTTTTTATATTATGAAAATTGTGCTGAATTATATTATAAGCGCGATATAAAAAAATAATTTCATAATTTTCATAGAGTAATACAAATTTATGGTCTTTTCGCAAGGAAACACTTTATTATACCAATTTGTAAGTATAGAAAACAATCGTTGAATATTTAAATGATCCCTGATAAAAATTGTTAACACATTCTACTAAAAAATATAATAAAAGACATTTATATATTGCTATACCTAATTATTTAAATAATTTAAATTATTTATTGTAGCGAACTCGTTTCTATACTAAAAAATACTCACATTTCATTTTAACGCGGGTTATTATTTAAAATTAAGCAATAATTAGTTTGGTAAATTAATTTTATGAATGGATATATAAAGTCTATATTTTAAAATGTAATTCTACTTAAATTTCACTTGATTATTTTGCAAGTACAAATAAAAAGAATGCATTTTTCAGTCTTTATGGAAGCAGATTAACTTGAACTAAAAGCTACTTTTATTTGCAATTATGTTATATTATATATATATATTGTTAATATGTTTATTATGTTTAGGCTTTTATATCATGACATTTAGTTTTATATGAATTGTTATGTAATATTTGTATACACAATACTTAAATAGTACTCTGTATATATGTGAATCAGGAAACTCAGGAAAAAGAAAATTACATTTATAAACTGATGAAATGAATTTAGAAACTGATATAATGAATGACGTTTCAATTAAATTAATTCGAAAATGCAATTACACACGATATTAGATAAAACAACAGATATCAATGATAACTAATGGGTATATTGTCAAGGTACTATAATTAAGAAATTATACACATTGAAAAATAGATACTTTATATTTATAAAATTTATAAAATTTTACAATACGTCTACAAGAAAGAAATCTATGCAGCACATGAATTGTAAATTATG